GATTTATTTTGCTGACACTCTACAGTCTCTCTCGAGGGTTGTATTTCGTTGTATGCGTCCCGTTTTCCGGCAGGTGGTCCTCTCATTAGCTCCGAATCGTTGGCAGAAATCACGCGGAGAATTCGGACTGGGAGATTAGTCTGCCTTGGGCAGATTCGTGTACGGTCCGGCCAGCCAGACTTGTATACATTCATACTCTTTACAAGCATTCTGCTCGTTTAATATATTGGATTGAACTCATGAGCCAACGAAACTTTTTAAACAACCAACTTTAACCAACTTGTAAAGTAATTTTAAAATATTTTACATTTATCTAAGGTGTACTGTTTCCGATTAACAATAGAATGTAAATAGCAACAATTACAGTTAGGAACAATTATAAAAAAAGTTGCGAATAGGGGTGATTTCACGAAACTATTTTACAGACTCGGGCGAATTTCCTGTAGGAGATTAGAGCTGGAACGGTATTGATCAGGGCTCAATTATTTTCGTTGGAGATTTTCGATGGAAAAAGGTGTACAATGTCATTGAACTGAAAGGGAGGATATGTGAGATATCCGGATCAGTCCTTTATAGAAAAATGAATCGCAACGTGAACGGCGCACGATGACCTATTGCACTACTCTTTTGCTACTTTTTAAATCAGAAGCTGTAAAATATCCATTAGGGGCTTTTGGAAAGTTAATACTTAAGCAAACAAAGCTGTGCGGAGAGATTTATGAAAAAATTATTGGGGATTTTTAGATGGAAAAAGTGTATAAATTACTTAAATAGTTGATATTAATTCGTACTAATGAAATTCAAATAATATGAAAACTATTAGAATTATTTAATTATAGAAATTTTCCTGTCGCAATTCTAACGTTACATATTTCAAAATATGTTGAAAAATGGGGAAGATATCAATTTCTAACATCTACTAATTATTAGAAAACTGTTCCGAGAAATAATTCCGTTTAATTTAAATTCTTTAATTTTGCTCTATTCTAATTTATTAGATTATATTACTTTAATAAGTAGGTACCTCAAGCATAATTTATATTAGAGTAGGTAGGTACATATAATAGATTTAACGATAATGACCAGATCCAAAAATATATCGAAGAGACAATGTTATTAAGAAAGGAATTTCCAATATTGCCCCTTTAATGGAGTTTTTTTACGAAATACACCTTCGCTATATCGAACCTTCTGCTAAAATCCATTATTTCAAAGCTCATTGTCCTTTATCGAACTCGTGGGATTTCCTGTTCAGTTATATCGCACACTAACAGCCATGAAAATAAACCAAAAAAAAATTACTTATGCTTATTTTAAATTTCAAATTACCTACATGAAACTAAAAGGAAATTTTATTTTTAAAATTTTCATTGTAAATGCATTATTTTATTGATTACTGAACCGTAAATTTGAATGTGTATTGCATAAAATATAGACTATGATAAACATTTCTAAATATTTCTTATCAAGATAATGTTTACATGAGTAACGATGCTGCAAAGTAGGAAACTTGTTTCGAATCACCACGCTTTATCCACTATCATATCTGTCTTCGGATATTGGTAAATAGACAGAAATATTACCCAAAAACTAATACCAAATGCCCGTAGGCGACGTCGAGCAAGCGCCTCACAAGTATTGCGTCTATCTGATGTTTTGTCAGCAGTCTCAAAGAAATTCTGCTGTATTTTTCTCTTTAGTCGATCTCCAATATTTCGCGCGTTCCACAAGAAAACACTCATCATTCATTTCACAGCGAAAATCCCTCTTGAATCTATTTCCATCTCACCAGTCTGGATTCGCGTTTTTTCCGCCGGCAAACCGATCTTCAACGTATAATATTTAAAGCGTAGAATAGCATTTTATAAAATCAAAAAGAGCGTTTGTGTATAAACAAAATTATTAGAGCAATGTATCTTTTTGTGGCCACAAAAATATTATGTTACTGCCATAGAAGTTTATGAATATTTGACCATACTTTGGAAGTAATCTTATTGAAACGAACATCCCTTTAGATTAAATTTTCGCCTGCGTTCAAATACGTGTCACATCAACCATTTTGTCTTTCAATATTATCCTAATGCAGTATTTAGAGAGAATCTGTGCAGGCTTATACAAACGAAAGACATTACCTATCCGTAACGCACAAAATTTCGATAAGCAGTCTTCGCTGAAATTCGTTCATTTCCTTTCTTTACAGTGCTCAAAACAATAAGTATTGTTTTTGGAACGTTGATTTGAATGAAAGCCACTGCGGTTTGGTTTTCAATTCAACAATTGTATAGTTTAAAGTTAGCAAACTTGGATGAAATAAACGCATCACGATAAATATTGCTACTGTTGAAGTATAAAATAATTGTAATGAAATGTTTTATAGGTAGGTACCTACATAAGATTGGTAAAACTCTCATAATTCGAGAGACATGTTCTTATATATTCCATAGCCGAAATCGATGAACTATGTGTTCATAAAAGTTTGCATTTTGAATGGCTGCGAATAGTACTTACCTATGCATAAGCTAATAGCGGTAAAAGGACGAGATTGGATTTTGAATAAATTGCTTTTTCCACCTATATTTACATCATCTTATTACCTTACGGTCTTATTTTGTCGGCTTCTCTTATTACTTTTTTGCTTTTTCTGACGAAACCACTACCTCGGTTTCTCAAGTTGTAAAGTCAATAAAGCTTTTGAGGAACATATATGATTTTTAAAATACTTTAACAATTACCTCGCTATTTTATTGTGTACAGTAGTTGTTCCTGTTTAGTGAATAATTTTAATTTGTGAACCAATTTAACTCACTTATGAATCGTGTCGTAAACCTATATTCGTGCATATTATTTATCATTACTCTTTTCAAATGGATCTTTTATACTAACAATAATTTTAAATAATTATATTTACAATAACGAGCGTATGAAAACACACCAATTAACTTATCAATCTTACGTAACTGTAATACCAGCAAATATCTGGTTTAATATACAGGAAATTATACCCTCTTTTTACACCTATTTTCACAAATCCTCTGACAGTTTGTTTTTCATTAAAAAATAACATAAAAGAAATTTCTTACCCGGCTTTCGGCGAGTCCTCTCCACCTGCGGCAGGGGCGATGCATACGCCGAAATGAACAATTTCCACCGGATCGACCGGCCGATAGTCGCTCGCGTTAATATCAAGAAAATTTCGGGAACCGATGGGCACGACAGGGAGCGAAAACGGTAAAAGGGGTCGCGAAGTACCGAAACTGCGCTGGCGTGTCCGCTGCTGTATCGTCGGAGCGAATTCACTTTGAGCAGAACCAAACTGCGATGATGGAAGTGCATGAATTGGAAGTGAATCAGGTAATTACGTTTGCCGAACCATATGAGTCGGTGTCACGCCCTTGTCACTCAGGCATATCTCCCATATAACCGGACGGTCGGTAATTCCTCTAAGCTTAACAATAAGCCCTCATTTTACATATATATTTATTTAAATTATTAACTTGTGTAGGTATATATCAACTTAAAAGTGAACGCAATTTTTTTTTAGAAATAATGGATAAATAAATTAGTCCCTCAAATAATGTTTAACTCTAAAATCCAGATGATCAAAATAATAAATACATTATAATATTACGTTAGAATCCTAAAATTTTTCTTAATAAATTCATCTAATGAATTTCTGTGATACTCATGTACTGCGATAAAATGGTGGTGACTAGGAACTAGGACAGATATTTGTTACTTTATACTCTATATATACTTTATATTAATGCAGAAATTCTAGTCGAATTGATGAATGCCGCTGACTGATCCACATCCCAATCCTACAACATACATACATTCATCGAACCTCCCGCGTCGCCCGCTCGCAATTCTCTTCCTTCCGTTCTCTAATTTATCTACCGTAAACATATTCACCTATAGATAAAGTCCAATCATTAGGACGCTTCCGCTCGACGTTCATCGGATCAAATTAAATCTTTCATATACTTAATCCTATTATAATTGAACGGAATGTTGAAGTCGCCGTAATAAAATAAAAATCGGGGATTTGGGACGCGAAATTTACCTTCAAATGCTAAACATATGAATGCCTGCTCATTCAGAAATTTAACAAGTTTATTGGGTTGATCCAATAGAATATCGACTTTATTATATCCGAATAAAGAGGAAAACAGCGATGTAGAGATGTATTGGCTAATTATCTCGTCATAATAAGAAATTTTGTATTACCATAAAAATAATTTTGAACTGGAGTTTTAAATCCGATTAAATACAATAATGCAAGTGAAAGCGGCGTCGAAGCGCATTTTTATGTGCACTGAAAAATGGATTTTCAATTTAAAATAAAGATATCGCAACCGGTGAATAATAGGGCTCCGACTCAATAAACGTAAATTGCTTTCGAAGCAACAATTAATTGAAACAATCGGGCTACAATTCAATTGGCAATATTCATTGATCCACGTCCGGCACTATTTATTTAAAATTTTTCATTCCAAATTATTCCAAATTGAATCTAGGATTGGTCTGCCGACGGATATATTTAGATCAACGCTGTGAATAGGTAACAAAAAAAACTTTTGTATGAACTTCCAACCAACATCAGAGGAATGCCAGAATGGTCGAATGCACATGGGAATTGTATTTTATCACTCATGGGTGGTTTTCATTCGACGTATAGGAATAGGTACAGAGAGCAGTTTGCAATTCGTATTTTTTTCTTTGTTCTGTCTATTAAAGCTTTCTTTGCAGTGATTGACTTCGGTCTTTTTACTCGATTTTTATTCGATATTAAACAGCAATTTATCGACCAAATATTCATATAAAGGAATTTAAGTATCGGTTGCTAGGAGGACTCACGTACTATGATAGCAACATTTTCTACATCCACAACCATCGTATTAAATTATCTCAACTTTCGCTCTTTTCCTTTATATTCGTCACAAAATTATGTGTCATAACATTGAATGGTGGCATCATTTGCTAAATCTTTTATTTTCCGTCATTATTCTTACAAAACGAAGTAGAGTTTGTTGTTTCGTTGCCGTTTCGCAAGACATGTATCTGAATTAGAAGCAACATCTCTACTAGGGTGAGGACGCTCTGGCAGTTCCAAGTCATAAATCTCAGTTACGTAAAAACTCGTGTCAGCTGGGACCAGGTAGATATTAATATTTCTTTGTCGAGTTCTTTTCTTCGACATATACGTGTATCGACAAATCCTTTAAGAAATTGCGGGATTATTTTATTTATTGTAGCGATTACACATATGAGTATACTATTGCTAATATCATTTGATTAAGTAAATAACATCATTAATGCGTGATTCCTCTTTAATTGTACTGGTTGCTCAAAATGTTTACCTTTATCTGGAGTTCATGCGTTTTTCTAATTATAGAGTGTTATTAAAGTAAATTTTCCAAAAGTTTTAGTTCATACCTACAGCTGTCTATCATCGATAAACATCATGAAATCGATATATGGAATAATACTTGAATTAAGTAGTTATAATAAATTTATTTATTTTTAGCTAAAAAATAGGAGCTAAATTGAGTAAACATATTCATACATTTTGAAAGATTGCAAATATTATATAGGAAGATTATATTGGATAAAATATTTATATCCTATTCCCTACGATTTTTTTTTTTATTTATAATGTAGGTATGTTTTATTCACATTTCTTAAAATCTAACCACAATCCTCCAACTGCTAAAATCATTGGAAAATATGGATCAAACTTCAAAGGCAATTGCGTTTTCGAATTAACAGTGCATTGGAAGTTACGAATGACATACGCTAGCCCAACTTTAACTTGAGTCACACCAAAACGTTGACCTAAAAACACATAAAAATAGAGATAAGAAATATAAGTTGAACTGTTTGTACAACAACTCAGCAGGAATATGGAAGTTGTTTTATCAATAATCTTTATCACATTACCTATACAAATTCTGGGCCCCTCTCCAAACGGCAAATGGGTGAAACTTTGTATATTTTCCTTTTTCAAAAATCTCTCCGGTTTGAACTTCTCCGGGTCGTCAAAGTATTTGGGGTCGTGATGAAGTCCCATTACCGGTATAGCCACGCGATCGCCGGCCTTCAACTTTACTGTCATTTGCTTGAAATTTGGACTAGTTGAAGTGTACGTGTAATCTTCAGTGCACAATTTCGATAAATTGGCGGCTATAAAATTTTTCCTTAAACCCTCTGAAATCAAAAATAATTATTTAAAAATAAGTAGTTTCGATTTGGAAATTATATCCCATTAGACATTTTACCATTTATGCAAGCATCCAAGTAGGGTAAATCGTGAAGAGCTTCGTACGTAAATTTATTTCCATTTTTTATGTAACTTTCATTTAATTCTTCTCTTAGAGTCTGCTGTACTTCGGGATTTGATGCCAGTTCAAATAGTAAAAAACTCATCACCTAGAATTAAATTAAAGTGTATACCAATATTTTAAATTAGTTTGGATTAACTTACCCTAGCACTGGTGTCATAACCATCTGCAAAGAAACTAGCTGCGTGAGCTACAATGTCAATATCGGTAAAAGCTTCGCCTTCAGTAGACATGCGGGAGCACACATCCAAAAAATCATTTCTGGTTACATTATTTTCCTTACGATACTTCAGTGTATTAGAAACCATTTCGATTAGATGATTTTCTACATCTTTAGGTATAAACCTAACACATAATTTAAGTTATTTAAGTTATTTAAGTTATTACGTTATTACTATTATGCTTTATAGATATTACAGACTACAGGTAATCTAAACCAACTCCTTAGAAAAGTACTTACTTTAGTTTAATTAAACCACTTATTACAGGAAAATTAAACATCAACCAGAATTTGAGTTTCTTCGGTAACGAATCTGCAGTAAAAAATTTTTCCGCCAATTCTTTAAAAGCTGAGTGTTCTTCAAATGCTTTTCCATCTACCCCAAAAGCACATATAGCTACATTATCAAGAGTATACCGCATACATAGGTCTAAAGCTTCCAAAGGTGTCGAGGTATTTGCCGCATTTTCCATATATTTCATCATTCCTTTAAGGTTGTGCTCCATGTAAGGAAACATGCCCTTAATCTGTTGCGATTAATTATTAATTTAATATAATATAACTTTTAAATATGTATTATATACCTTTCCCGATGTAAAACATCCCGTTAATTGAACTCGTTTTTGTTTCCACTCGGCTCCTCTCATTACGAAAGGATTCCGTCCAAAAATCGGGTCCAAATCTTTTTGTACTTCGATGTCGTTGTCATGAAAGTTCTTGAAATCTTTTACCATTACATTTTTAACCATTTCAGGGTCCCGAATAATCAAGACAGGTGTAATCGCTTTGTAAATACCAACAAATGGATAATTTTCATATTCTCTATAAAATAATATAATTAGTTCTAATACCTGAAATATGAACATTGCTTTATTTATGTATACTTGACGCGTTTGGAAGACGGAGTAATAAACACATTAATCAGCCGAAGTCCACCCGGGGTGTAATTGTAGGCGATGTGCGAAATTTCGATCGATCGAATCGATCATTGTACAGGATTTTTCCGTACTGGGGTAGGTATAATTTGGAACCGCCTGACATTTTTATTACTCCGTCTTCCAAACGCGCCAAGTATAGGTACCTATAAGTATTAGTGATAATGTCTCCACTGGATATTTTCCCAATAAAACTTTTTCCGAAATTACCGACAAGAAATGATGGTTTTGGTCCGGGAACGCCTCTATCGCTCCAATAATTATAATTTCTCTGAATTAAGTAATATAAAAGGGACACTACTAAAATAAACAGTATTAACAACATGTTGAATCAGAGACGGTTCAACCGATTCTAATGTGCTAAAGCGGTTGAAATAAAGTGATATAGTTTATATGACCTTTCCAATTTGTTCGTCTGGTAATATTAAATAAAAATAGTCGTCCTTGAACGTTAATTGGAAAATTTTGCATTGCAGTGATTGCTTCTGTCGACTACGGTTCACACTTTAGGTAAATAAAATGAGGAATTTGGTGAATACATCTTATAAATAATATACATAGAGAATATTATTATATAGAGAAACTTATGCAGGATGGCCCAGAACTCACGCCCCACCGGGAAAGGCCTTATGAAAACGACAATGGAGATGTCAAAACTGCAGCCGAAGACATGAAATAGTTATTCCTTTGCTAAATAAAGAGGTTCAAAATCGACCAATCCCAGTTACAGTTCAAATTCAAGAAAATTAGGTACGTGAATTCACTTTCAAAGTTAACAAAAGCTGCCAAAATTGGGACTATTGATCAAAGATTTGCTTCCAAATTGATCATTGATACCAAACCTTAAGAATTTTTTATTGCTTCAAATGTGGTTCGAATCGAATGATAGATTTTTTGATCCATTTGTGAAACATATCTTTGATCAATAGTCACATCTCATTTTGGTAGCTTCTGTTAACCTTGAAAGTGAAAAGGAGTGAATCTTTCAATAATTTCAAATTGGTGTATAGCTCATTCACGTCATTTTCGTGGACTTGAACTCCTACTGGGATTGGTCAATTTTAAACCTCTTTATTTACCAAATCTATTTTCTGTTTTCGACTGCAGTTTTGGCATCTCCATTGTCGATTCAACAAGGCCTTTCCCGGTGGGGCGTGAGATCTGGGCTTAAGGGAATAAGCTTATTTTCCTACTTTCTAATTATTACACTTTATCTCAATCTCCTTAATTTTGAAACATACAATAACCTTCAATTATAAAATAAACAACACATCTCGTACTAAATATGTTTATTACATATTTTTAATGATATTTTTGGTATCAGCTAAATAATATTATTTTATAAATTATGTAAATAAGTATTATTAATATGGTTATCAATTAATATTAATATTGCCTAAAAAATAAGGCAAATTTAAATGTTTTACATGCAATATTTAATATCTATGGCACCTATCAAGTTATAACTTAAACAAGTTAATTAACTTTAGTAATATCAATCCACAGTCCTCCAATTGCGTCAGGCATCATGTAATATGGATTGAACTTTAAAGGAAGTTGGGTTTTAGAATTAACAGACAATTGATAATGCTTAATTATATACGCAACTCCAACTTTAATCTGAAGAATTCCAAAACGTTGGCCTAAAAAAGTTTCACTTGAAGTGTTACAAGCATTCTGTTAAAAAATTTTTAAAACATACCTAAGCAAATTCTTGGACCATCACCGAAAGGAATATAAAGATGCTTTTTGAAACCTTCGTCCTGTTTGTCTAAAAATCTTTCTGGAAGAAACTTGTCCGGGTCCGGAAAATAAACGGGATCTCTATGAAGCCCATCAACTGGCAAAAGAATTGATGTACCCGCTTTAATGTTAATCTTAAGGGGCTTAAAACCTGGTGCAGTTGATTCGTACGTATAATCCTCTGTACAAATCTTAACCAAATCGATTATGCTAATTTTTCGTAATGTTTCTAAAATTTAAGAGCAAATGCTTAACGTGTGACTACATTTATCTTATGCTTACCATTTAAACAGGCTTCTAAATAAGGCATATTAGAAATTACTTCGTACGTAAATTTATTTCCATTTTTAGATAAAACTTCGTTAATTTCTTCCCTTAACCTTCCTTGGGCGCCGGAATTTTGGGCGATTTCAAAAAGTACGAAACTCATGACCTAAAAGTTTCGAAAAAATATTATGTATAGTGCTTCATCATCATCATCATCTTACTCTTGAACTAGTTTCGTAACCATCCCCAAAGAAGCTAGCGGAATTAGCAACTACATCGATTTCACTAAATAATCCATTTTCAGTTGAAATTTCTGTCATAACATCCAAAAAATCATTTCTAACGACCTTATTTTCTTTGCGATATTTAAGAGTTGATGAAACTATGTCGATTAAACGTTGCTCAGTGTCCTTATCAACAAGTCTACAAATATTTATACACGTTAATAAGACAATACTGCATAAAAATACGATTATGAAGTACCTATGCAGTTCTAAGGAAATAAATATATTAATATACTGAATAAATTAAATAACTTACTTAATTTTTAAAAATGAAGCCACCCATGGACACAATATCATTATAAGGGAAGTTATTTTTCCTAGGCCCTCTGGAGAAATTAGCTTATGTGCCAATATTCTAAATTCTGGGTTGGTTTCATCGAAACATTTTCCTTCTAAACCGAAAGCGCAAGCTGCTACGTTATCCAATGTGAATCTAATGCATAATTCTCTAGCTTCCATAGATGTGGACATTTTCGTTTCTTCCTCTATATACCGGATCATTCGTTGAGCATTCGTGTCCAAGAAAATGTACATTCCCTTCATCTAATAATTTATTAATTATACCAATCAGTGAAATTAAAAATCATAATTGATTGTACCTTTCCTGATGTAAAACATGGTGTCAGCTGAGCTCGTTTATGCTTCCATTCTTGCCCTTTCAAAACAAACGGATTTCGTCCGAATACAGGATCGATTTCTTTATCGACTTCGAAATCATTGTCAGTAAAATGTTTGAAATCCTTAACGAGAATATTCCTCAACAACTCAGGATCTCGAATCATTAATGCAGGGGTCGTAGCTTTGTAGATCCCCACGAATGGATAACCTTCATAATCTCTAAATAGATATAAAAATATAATAGTTAGAAAAATAAAATTTGAAGGCACGATAAAAAAAATTCAAAGCTTAGACTATAATAATTTATTGTGACTTTTGATACTGCTAATTTAAAATACAACAAGATATATTAAAATATAACAAGATGGATCATTGACTCCCAATCTATTGCGGGTAGGTACATTGTGGATTAATTATCAATAATTTTTATTATCTATTTTGTGACATTTAGGTCAAGGTTACTTGTTATGTATAACTTGAATAATAGCCTTGGCTCCATCATAAAAGTTAAATACCTACTTAAATGAAACTACTTAGAAAAATAGGAGAGCACTAATAAACTAAATTTGTAAATTCGTTTGTTTATACAGAGTGTACGAATTCTTCCGCTGCAAGCGTTAGAATTAGAATCTCAATCAATACTATAAGATAGTAAAGAACAGAAACTTGTTTATCGGTTGCCGGCCGATATTAGAATTCGACAATTCGCTTCGCTTCGTTCACTAGCGAATAGCGGGGATAGCGGGCGTGACTATTTCGTATGTTCTCTTTATTCCTTACATAGCAAAAGTTAAATTAGCTATCTCATTATTCTCATTATATGCTTGCAGCGGATCAGTTCGTACATACTGTATACATATTATAAAACCTGTCCCCTTTTTAGGACTTCAAGGAACAGAAATAATACATTTATTAATTTCCAAATTATGTACTAGCCTTTATTAATGTTACCTGTAAATTTCTGTAGCAATTTGCCTGGCTGTTCTTTTACCAAAGAAATTATCCGCATAATTTCCAAATAGCGGCCAAGGCTTAGGACCAGGTACTCCAAGATTTTTCCAATAACTATAATGCCTTCTAATCAAATAATACAACAAGACTAACACCAAAGCAACTAAAAGCCACATATTTTAGCGCGTTCTCCAAGCACAAGTCATAGACTAAAACTAAAGCTAAATAAATAAGCACTTAAACAAATTAGTTTTGATTTCGAAGGATATTCTCCCAATATATTTTTAACGCATGCGCTCTATGTAGGTGTTAATTGATGCTGTATTACAATGTTTACGACTGTTTCCGTTTGATGATCTTTAATGTTGCAACACTTAAGTATCGTGTACAAATACAATTCTGCTTCTTATAGATTAGTAAATCTAATCTCATACAGAGATCACAACTACTACTCTTATTAAATATCAAATCAAATATTAATGAATATACCAACAAGCAATATAACAAACGACATAAAGTTGTTTATATAACTTTATTTTAAATACATCTATATCCTTAAACACTAAATATAAAAATAATGATAAAATATAATTTAATAAATCAGTGCCCAGATGGTTCGTAGGCATACTTCCAAATATCACAGAAACAAACGGACGAATGAAATCTGTAAAACATCATAAGAGGCAAGCACATGTGTCCGAGAATGGTCCAAAGTTCCGTTCCATAGAAAGTGTATCTGATATCGTCCAAACCTTGAGCTTTAACTTCGAATGTCTGCATGAGCCACATCGACACATTGGAAATAATCAGAAAGGTCACAAGCTCTCTACCTGGTTTTAACTTCCTCAATTGTTTGGTATTGCTGGATCGCCTAAGACCATCTAATAGGAAGGCGGTTTGAACAAGCACTTGTAAGATCTTGGAAAAAATAATTAACTCACTAAACTGTGTATGTTTTAATAAAATTGAAGAAACCGTACCTCTAAGATAATCCTTGCGATTGAAATAGCATCGGAATGTATAGTAGCCGGAATGATGCTAAAAATTCCGTTCAAGAAAAATGCTGGTATACAAATAAATAATAAAATATCATCCAAAATATTGTGATGAAGAGAGTTGATATCGAGTTTAGTTATTTGTCGATAGCCGAAAATGCAAGCTATTAGCATTGCCACCAATATTAATAAATTAGCCCATTTATGACACAATAGTCCCTCTTCGACCTGTGACCTAAAACATAATAAATTCAAATTTTTACTAATTTCACTATAACATTGCATTATTACGTACCCATCATCCATGTAGACCGAAACGAAGAACAGTAAACTGACCACAATAGTGAGAATCAAGACTAAGAAACCTCCAAAAAGACCCTTGTTGCTAGCCTGGCAATCTGCGTGAATAACGATGTTACTTTCTATATTATCAGGATTTCCTTGCGGAGGAATCCTGCATTGAGACGTAGCTTGGTTTTCATCTTCGGCGTCGCATTTGTTAATATTTTGCCAGACCAGTATAAGAATACCGACTGCAATAAAAATAATTTATAATGCAATTTACGCGATTATTTCAAATGTTATATTACCGACTAGAATACTGTACTCAACACTAAATGGGTATAAGTAAGGTGAAATATCTCTATAAATCCTTTTAGTCGTTTCTTCACTGCAAGGTATCATTGAAGTAAAACGATGGATAGATATATTAAACGAAGCCTTTAATTGATCCACTCCTAAAATTGAAATAAATATATTTATTATATCTCTTAATATGACTTGATATTAATTTAAATAATACCTTCTTGTGATAAAAGTGATACTGGTAGAGCGTACGGTTCTGCTTCTGAGATTGATCCTGGAGGAGCAGTTGTAGAATGCAGCAATTTTTCTCTTTTGAACTCCAATGCTTCAAGAACTTCTCTCATAATCGTCCAAACCCAAAAGCATGTACTTGAGGAAATACAATGCATTATACCCAAGCGAGCAAGAATCCTATTTCTGTTTATTATCAACTAAAATATAGCGATATTTATGTAATATTGTTATAGATAAATACCATGTAGAAAATAAACTGAATATATTAAACTATTTTATGATACAATTAATTAAACCATATCAAAACGTATGTAAATATTGTAAATATCCAGCTATTATAATTTTAAACTTACATTTGAATATTTGAAGATGAAATAAAGCAATATGAAGGAATAAAGTGGATACAGAAGATCTAGAAACCATGTAGATATAGATGGAAAGCAATGGTCAATTTTTCCATCGTTTCTTGTGATAATTACGAGTTGGTAAGCTAATATTAAACCATAGTGAATTAAATGTCCAAAACAAAATGCTGAAAAAAATTGTTAATTTAACATATAGATTAAGAAGGTTGATTAACTCCTAATTTACTCTTTGCCTATAACAAAGAGGAAAAATGTTTGTTAAACTTTATTCAATTTTCACATACCGGCAGCTCCGATTTTTAAATAAAAGTTTGTACTGTGCCTATCCTTGTTGAAACAGTAGTCATGTTTGATGGCTTTTCCCATTTTAATAACTTCCGGAAGTTGGATGCTGAACTGAAATTGTCCATCGGGCGTTTCAGTTACGTCTATATTTTCGGGCAAGTTTTTTTCGATCAATTTTTCATACGAACGCTTTTTGTTTGTGTAAACACTAATGTCAATAATCAGGTATGTTAGGTACAAGCACGCTATCGAAACGAGAGTCAAGCTATAAACCTAAGAAAATAAAAATTTTAAATAAATTTGAAGAAGTTATAAAATGGGAAAATTATCCTTACTTCTGCTACGGGATAGGTCCCATCTATTATATCAGAGACGTAAACAGCTAGTCCTACTGTCACGTTAAACAATGCATAAAATATAGTAAATGTTCTTACTAAAATATCACTGAAAGTTAAAGTAATTTGGTATTGGTATAAATAAATTTCTTTAGATAAATTAGAAATTTATTTAGTTTACTTTATTGCAGCTAGTTAAGGTGGACTAATCTATTATAAGACTATTATAAAATAAATTTATATGTGCATTGATAAATTCATCTATTAATAGATTTAATCACTTTACCTGAATTACAAAAATAATAAATTTCAGAGATGATGTAATTTCAGAAAGATTTACATTCGACAAATATTCGTGAACTACCAGCCCTAAACGAAAATGTTGCAAATTTGGTCAATGTAGTTAAATTCAACGGTATTAAATCTGAACCGAACAATAGGCAATCGAGAATAGTATTTAATGCTGCTTCCTGGATGAACTAAAATTACCCTCATCCATAACTGTTATTTCGTCTGCCCATTTATCCCGTCTACTCTTAATGTTTCTTTTGTGTTATATAAAATCGAAATCCATTTTATCTAGCTGAAATGGCTTAATTTATTCGGAACATTGTAACAATTGAAATTTTAATTGTTGGAAATTAATAATTTTAATGCAATTCACAAAATGAAATTTAACAACAAATTTAAAAGTATATGTACTCTTGTGAATTATTCTTCGCAATTCACATTTATAGGTACTTACGAAAATGCTTTCTTCTTCTCCTCCGGTGGCGTAGGATTGTCATACCTTCCTACCAGACCAGGAGTTGCAGGAATCGACAACACACCTTCCGTATAATCAGATGAACTTTCATTGTTGATATGGCCTTCATTGATGTACATTGGAAACTCCTGATGGCTATGTGTGCTGTGATTGTAGCATTTATGCCTCTCCTTCATATGGCCGTTCCCTAAGCATGTAACGTTAGCGTTAGCGTTATTAGGTGGAAATATTTGGACACGGCCTTTGAGTGTATGCGACATCATCATGTGGATATTTCAATTTACCGAGAATCGGGGAAGTACCAGTATTAATTTAACCGTAAATATACCTATCTTCATTAGGTAGACTTAATTAGAAGATTTTACTAGCATTACATTATTATGTAATGTTAATTATTATGTATTGCACTAAATAAAATATTGAACCTTGTTATCTCGTATTTCCTTAAAATGAATATTACAGATTCATGCGTTTCTTCTGTTTAATTATCTTATTTAACTGTAGTGTCTCGACAATTTATTCTATAATAATAAATTTTATTAGACTCACCCCTTATATCTTCGTAGGAAATGCTTTCTAAATAGTTATTGTTTTCACATGATTGATGTGTAACATTGTGAGCTGGTACAATCAAATTTAACACCATACTGTTATTATTCTGTAATAAAACATTAATTAAAAATAGGGAAAATTTAATTGAATATATGCAACTATAATATAATCTACCTTCTTGAGTGGCATGTAATTAAATTTGTAGAACTTGTTTGAAATAATATAAAAGGTTTAAATGCGTGAATAAATTGCTGACAGATTTTTAAACGATAATTCGGAAAAATGAGATATTTTTGTACTTACCTTCAATATTACACTCACAGTATACATTCCACCCCTTTTTATTATAGAGGTTCAAATATTTCCAACAGTTTCAAATAAAATGTTAATTTTTTATTCGTTAATCGTATTTTAGTCAGCTAATTAACAATCTAAACTGGCTATAATGGGTATGAACATTTAATTGATTGTTCTTCACAACAATTGCAATTATTCCGTTTCTTAAAACCGGTAGTGCACAAAATAGAAACTGCTTTGTCACGGTTAAGTATTCAAGTAAATTGGTTTAACAAAATAATGAATATATCTTACTAAATCTGAATTTCGTTAAATCGGAACTTCTCCTTCTTAATTTCACCGCGTGTCATAATTTTTGCGTACTTTTATGGAAATGTGCGGTAAATTTTATTAAAATTCGTTCGGATTAGGTTTATAGTTAACTATTTCGGGCAGTTTTTTATGGGAATGTAGAAACCTTATAAACCAACTGTGCCGTTATTTGTGCAATTGGTTGATTTAGTATGAAAGAAATGTAGAACTTTTTATATAAGAGTTATAGTTAATTTCGAAATTTCATCGAAGGTCAATTCGCATTACAGTGATTAGTTTATTGTTATATTTCCAATCAAATTTTAAGAGTTGTGTTAGAAGAGAACAATCATGAAAACACGTAAATAAATAAAAAATAGTGTTTTAAAAATGGGAGGGTTTCAAAAAATATTTATCTCAGCTTTGTTTGATAATCCTATATATTTTATGTATACGCGTAATGCAGTTGTAATCTTTCTATAAAAGCATTTATGGATTAAAAGCCATTATTGTAAGCCGTTTGTAAATTTACTAACGATGGATTTTGAACTCTATTATAATTCGAGGTATAACAGTATTGGAAAATTAAAAAATATGTACCTTAATCCCGTTTTTCAGTTTTCCACTTTGAAAATCTTGCACGGACTTTGTCCTCCTAGGAGTTAATAAAACTGTAGGTGGGCCCGTCATCATAGACACAATTCGTCGATTTTTTTCTGATTTACTTTGTGGTCTTATAATGTCGTCAAAAGTAAAGATATCGTCATTCATTAGACGTGGGGATGATATCTAAAATTTAGTACTCACTTCTGTATCCTAGCCTAATCCGTTATTGCTATATTTTTAATTAAAAATTATTTGGACAAACATGGAGATTCTTACCGAAGGCGAATCAGAGCTACTACCTAACGTAAATATTTTTCCAGATTCTACGTTGTTGGAACTTGATGTTTTATACGTGGTTTCCACGATAGGTCCATTAGACTTTTCCTGAACATTCGTGGGCTCGTCAGTCATCGTATTTTTGTTTCAACTACACGTTTAAAACTCGCATTTACTCGTTTCACTACTGAAATGTGTCGCAAAAATTACCAACTACGGTCTTTTTATTGTGGGGAATTATTTTTTATTGTACAGTGCCAAGAATTAACTTATCGATAAAGTAATAAATTCGGTGGATTTATTGATCTACTCAAAGGAAGTTGATTTACTGCGATACAGTTTTCGAATGTAATAATAATAGAAGTAATAATAATAAGATACGTATAGAAATATAATAAAGATAATTACGTTTCTAAAACTTATTATTTAAATACCTTGACTTGTTATTACATATAGTAACGTTATTACTGTAAATACCCGTTATCCGATTTTTGATATGTTTCATCTCTAGTTATTTCTATTCTATAAAGCCTGATTAACAAAAGAAAACAACAAATCATAGTTTATGGAAACAATATATTTTTGAAATATTCAAATTATATTTAATTTGTAGCCTATAATACAAAAATATAGTCAGACAACCTTTCAACAAAACTTAAAAAATATACAACTAATCTTACAACAAATCATAAAAAATAACTGAGCTATACATTATGTTAGAAAATTAAATTTGTGATTGCAAAATATACATCACAATTAACCAAATGGTAACCCATTCCGATTCATAATTACTTCCAATTTCCAATTAAAAAAAAAATGTTTAAAATGCGATAAAAATAAAGTTTTAACAAATCAAATGACTACAAAATGAAATTACTTAAAAAAAAACTAAACAATTACCGCCGCCTAATATAAATACAACCGCTAATATCCGAATATGTATAAATACAAAGATATAAATTTAATTTTTTTCGCTTTATAATACGTTATTCACAATGATATTAAGGCAACTTTTAAGGAATAAATTACTTCATCAGAGAATGCACCACAGCTTTAGTATTTAAAGCTTTCAGATCGGTATAGGTTTGCCCTGTGCCAACAAAGACTATTGGTTGACCAGTTATGTAAGTCATTGATATCGCTGCTCCAACCTAAAAATAATAAATACATTAATGAAAACCACGAGACTATAAAAATATAGTTGCTTTGTACTAGTCTCAGCAAATCATCCAAAATTTACCTTATCATCGATGGTATCAAACTTGGTAAGAACGATGCCGTCGATAAGATGAGGGTTTATGTTGGAAGAATAATCAGCAAGTGCTTGGTTGAATTTAACTAATTGATCTACAGCTTCATTTCCTACTAATGCTTCTCCAACGAATAGTACCAAATCAGGCTCGTTCACTTTGATCAACTTCGTCAGAGCTCTCATTAAAGGCTCGTTATCCTACAATAAATGTTAATTTAAAATACAAGAAGGAGGAACAACTCAATGATATTTTACCTGCATTCTACCGGCAGTATCAATCAATACTATATCGATTCTAGAATCATTGGCGAATTTAATAGCTTCCATGGCAATACCGGCAGCGTCTTTTCCGTAGCCTTTTTCGTACAATTGGACCATCTGTTTGCCACCGTGTCTTTCAGGGGGGTGTAAAGCGTTAAGATGTCTCATGTGAGTGCGCAACTGTTCGACAGCACCGGCTCTAAACGTATCACAAGCTGCTATAAGCACGCGCATGTTGTTTTCGATCAACCAGAAGCAGATTTTAGCGAGATTGGTGGACTTTCCTACGCCGTTCACCTGTGTTAACAATTACAAATATTTAATAAAACTAGATAGATAAACGTTACAAATGAAACATACTCCGCAGAAGGTCATAACGTAAGGTCTTCCCAATTTTTGAGCCTCCATGCAATCTCTTAGAATGTCGATTCTTCTCTTGGGGCTCAAGATCTGCACTAACGACTCTGTAAGTGTGTTTTTAACTGTTGAAGCCACACTATCGAAGGTACCCAACACTTTTCCTTCTAATTTGTTCGCCACCGAGTCGCACAATTTCTGAGAAATATCCGCGGCAACGTTTTTCGCAATAAGGAGGTCTTTCATCTTTTCCAAAGCGGGCATCATATCGTTTTTCGTTAGATTCTTGGAACCTACGAGGCCCTTGAAAATGGAAAACATTCCTCCTTTGGAGGAGGTTTTGTTTTGTTGTGGCGCAACTACTTCATCATCATCGTCGTCATAATCATCATCAGACGATTCGACTTCAAGGTCTTTTATTACACCTTTCATTTGACCGACGATCTGTAATAAATAAATGAAATTTGTATAAAATTTGAGTGCTTGACACATGGGAAGTACAGTAAACTTTTGGGTGTATTACCTCGGTATCTGGAGTAAAATTGCTCTTTATGTCTTCCGGTCTATCCGTAGTTCTTTCCAGAGTTTCCAAATCTTTGTTGGTACCTCCCAAATCCCAAACTCTCGGTTTTTTGCCGGCTTTTTCGGGTGGGCTTTTAGGGCTTTTCCTGAAAAGAGGGAATGTCGAGTATAACTACATAACATTCGTGAAATTTTGTTATCTCTTACTTGACTTCAGGTTTCTTCTTCTGCATTTTCTTGGCAAGTTTGGCTCTGTTAGCTGCTAGCGTTTCCTCATCGATAAGGCCATTTTGAATCACCTTCGGCGACGGTGGAGTAATGATCTTCTCTAAATTAAAACAATCATAAATTAAAAATTATTTTTAATACACCTCAATGGGAAAGTATGAGTGTATTCTCTAAGTTGTAATATGTGAGATAAAGTATATAAAAAATGTACCGTCATCAAGGAAGTTAACTTCTTTCTTCTTTATGGGTTTCTGCGGCTTTTCTTCCCCTTTTCTCTCGATCATAGAAGATACAGTCTTTTTTGATTTTTGGGACTCGTCGAATGTTCTCATCTGCTTCGGCTGCTTCAGCTGATCCTTGCTCCATTCCTCTGCAGCTCTGAGAGTGGAATTGTAGGCGTCCAACAAGTTAAAATTTTGAAAATATTGTTTTTCGGACAGCTCATTTTTGTATTTATCCCGGAATTCCAAGTGAATGTCGTTGAGAAATTTATCAACGTAGGACAACTGTAGGATTTTTTGATAAGCTACTACGAACACCAAGTCGAATTCATTGTCCAATTTGTACTGCAATAACAAACCGTCGTGATCGAACGTTTTAACGCCCGTTCTTTCCTGAAAAAAGATTTAATTCGTTCATTCATCCAATTCATTAATAATTTATCGTTTTTGCGTGTTAAATATTGCAAAAGTCACCTGCACCTAACATACCATATTTTATGAAAATTTGTAAATATTTACCTGCAGAATGACATTTTTTATTAAAGCGTTGACAGAAGGGGTGAATATCTGATTTGTACTTTGGAAGCACCAAAGAACAATGCCTCCTTTACTAAATATTGTAAATAAATCTAACATAATTAGCGCTTTAGCAATTTTTATTGAATGAAAATTGAAAATGAAACACGTCACCCCGTGCTAGTGCACGTCACTGTCACTGTCATTAGTGTCAGTTGAAGCGTACTGACAACTGACAGCAGCAGGTGTTATTTGACACAAGATCAAACGACCAGTCAATTTTTCTTCTAGGCGAATTTTCGCGTGTACTAACTGATTTTAGGCATAAAAATGTATTAAAAACACAATTTCAGTTAATAAATTTGTAAATATGGGTTATATAATTATTGTCTTTTGCTTTAAATAGTGAGATTGTTCAATTTCGTGCATTGCGAAGAGTGTATTATTTTCGAAAAAATGCCTAAATAATAAAATTACGTGTGGGACAATCGGCTAGCGAATAAACGAGTGATAATTGATAATTGACATTTCTCTTCTCAAGTCTTGTTTTCATTTTTCGTTTGAAGTCGGTTTGTGTTGCTAAATTAAAAAAAAATATTTTAGAGTGGAATATTGCTGGTTATTTAGATAGTATTTTCCTAAATGATGTTAACAACCAAATCGCAGTGAAAATTCAACATAATCAATTTAACATCGGCATCATTTTGTATTATTAAAAAAATTGGAATTTGCTGATAACACATCGAATTAATTTTTCTCAAGGATATATGTATATGAAAACAAATTTGTTGGACTTCGTTTGGACTTAAAAGATTTAGATATTTTTAAACTATTCCTGCGTTTATAATTAAGTGCCAGCAAATCGTATCGATTATTTACCAGAAAATGTCAAAAGGGAAGAGGTGTATTGTTTGATGTTTGATGAAAAATTTTTTGCATCGGTGACGTAATGAAATGAGTTATGAACTTTAAGAAAAAACTGAAAAGTTGATAATGGATGAAAGAAATTCAGTGAGGTAAGAGCACTTTTAATTTTTATCTCTAATTAAGTACGAGTATATTTAAATAGTGAGGTTATTATGTAATATAAAATCTGTCTCATAAGTACCATCACGAACGATTTTAACCAGGAAAAACATATTAGTTCCACAATTATTTACTTTTGTGTACTATTCAATTATCATTCATAACAGTGGCAACAAGAAATTAAGCTATAAATAGATTCGGTTGAGGATTAATCGAAAGACCTAAACATGTAGGCATTTTATAGCAGCACTGCTATTGTTCAGGATACAATTCTGTAAAAAAAACCTTTCACTTAGATCCTTATTTCACATTGTATCAATTATATTGCATAAACGATCTTGGTTTTAATTTTATATTAATTAAAACTAAAGCGCAGACGATTATTGTTTTGTATACATATATTTTTATTCTAGTTAATCTTTCAACTTTTCTTTGATAAACATTTCAATTTATTTTACATTCTATTTTACTGTAAAATTACATAATAAATAAATTATATGCACTTTGTTCTTCGGTTGTAAACTATATACATTAATTTAATAAATAATGAATCGATTAAGCTATGTTGTGTGTTTCGTTGAATCAGAAAAATACTTTAATTTATTAATTTTTTGATTACATATGCTGTTTTTCATTTTCTGTTTATAAGCTGTTTTTATTCATTTCACGAATTTTTTTAAAAAGGTGCTCATTATGCGCTGAATTTTTACATTTTTGCGATCTTATCGACAATCTGATTTTAGCAATTCATTACACTTATCGTCTGTTTTGAAATTACGATAGTAATAGTTTATCGAATGTATGGTATTTACAAATTCCTAATTTAACTTTCCAAATTTAATACCTTGACGTGATATTTATTTTATGCTCGAAAATCAAATGGTTTTTTAAATTTTCAAACACTGTTTTAGAAGTTCTTAATCTTTATAATGAGAATGATTTTGCAGTTTCTTTGTCATAAAATTAGTACACCCTATATGTCTTTGTTGGGTGATTGCCTGTTGCACTGCACACTGACATTTAATTCGTAACATTTAATTCCTAATTTTAACATTCGTTTTAAGTAAACTTGGGAATCAGCCAAGCTTCTACGAACCCGCTTATGATATTTATTTAATCTTTGTACAAACACATCAATAAAGCAATGCAATTGAATTTATTTGATATTTTTTTATTTTTGATGCGTGCATTAATGAGAGACATGTTATCTTAATAAAATTGTGATTGTTTTATTTTTAGTTATTGGTACAAAATACCAAAAGGATTCCTAAGGCTGTGTTTTATTTTGATAAACAATTTATACTGTATACCTACGTATGTTATGTGGATGATCCTGTTGTTACCACTTAGAAAAGTCAATCCAGATGTGTACTGGAGGATAGAAAGCTTTTTTTTCCATTGGCTTTTGGGGATGGTATCCCTTTGGAGCTACAGTGCAGGATTTGATAGTAAGATAATTATTGATTTATTTTAGACATATATTGTTTTTTACAAATGGAAATTGCATAGGATAGTAATTTTTGCCTATAACAAAGTAAATAGGTTACAACTTTTCACCTTTTTTTCATAATTATCACTAGCAATATTTTAATTGTTAGTATTTGGTTAATTAGCCTAATTTTGCTTAGACATTGAAATAACTGCGCAAAATGATTAAACCGATCTACATAATTTTCATAAAATTGTTCACTTATAATGATATGTATAGGATTCAGTCATATGTATTAGCTTTTGTGGGATATCTAATTTAAAATTTTAACTATACATTAACCTTGAACTACACCGTAGAAATTGTAATTTTTGGAAATAAAAAAGACATTTCATCATTTCATATAATAAAGAAATTTTATGATTTGTTAGTTTTTTTAATAACTAGTCTATTAATATTAATTTTTAACGGATACTAATTTCTGCATTTTTGATTTTTAGTTGTAGAAGTGGGTGATGATATTACGCCTTGTTTAGAAGACAGGACACTAGTGATAGCGAATCATCAATCCACAGCTGATGTGCCTTTATTATTCTCTTGTTTCAATCCCAAAAAGCAAATTTTGCCCAACATCATGTGGATTATGGATAGCGTATTTAAATACACAAATTTCGGGATCGTCAGTTGCTTGCATAGAGATTTTTTTATTAAAGCGGTAGGTGTTTCCAAACGCATTGAACGAATCGAATCGAATTTTCTATTCAAGACAATGCACATTCAATAATAAACAATTTAAATGCGAGAAATTTATCATATTAGAGGCAACGTCCTTCGATGATTCATAGACATTTAACGAGACGATTACCGCATAATTTCATTTCCTAATTAAAATTACAGGGTAAAGCGACTCGAGATAAATCGTTGAAGGATTTCGAACAACATTTGCTCGACGTGTACATACCGTTGAGGAGAAAATGGCTAATGCTGTTCCCCGAAGGCGGCTTTCTGCGGAAAAGAAAAGCCGTTTCGCATCGATACGCCGAGAAAATGAACTACCCCAAATACGAATATGTCACCTTACCAAGAGTAGGCGCCATGCAAGTAATCATGGATACTTTGAATAAGAAGCCGGTTGTTAACAACAACTTGAACTTTTCAAGAAGTAAGTTTTTTTTAACTTTAATTGGGAATTGTTACATTTTTTTGGTACCATGGAATTCTTTATTTTTTTTTTGTTAACAAGAGAATAATTGTACGAAACTGGTTTCTAACAAAGCAGTTAGATCAAATGAACTTGCTAATTTACATACAATACTCTTATATCAACATTGTAAAGCTCGAGGAACTTTGATAAAATATTAGAAAGGAAGTTAAAAAACAATTGATTTTTGTATGTGATTATTATCTACTATCGACTATCTACCATCTACTATAGACTATTTACTATCGACTATCGACTTTCGTGTATCTACTATTGACTATCTACCATGTGAAACTATTGCACTTGCCTCTTCGATTTGTATTTGATCGATATTGTAACAGTAATTATTATATCTACTATTGTTTTATAATTTGAACTAAGACCATTTTTAATTAAATAGATTTTACACGACCTTCAGACGACTGTGGCGAAATTCCTCGAATCGAGTGGATTTTGGACATAACAATAGCGTACCCAAACGGTTGGCCTATCGACCTCCAGCACATCGTGTTCGGTAATCGGGCACCATGCCAAACTGTTTTCTTTTACCGATTGTACCCCATCAAAGAATTGCCCCAAGAGACGGAGGCGATGACGAAGTGGCTGTTCGACAGATGGGCGGAAAAGGAGAACATGTTGGAAACGTTTTATAGGACTGGTTCGTTTCCGTGCGCGTTCAGCCGGATTAAATATCATCCGCCGAAAGTTGTGGTTCAGGATTACCTGCAGTACGCCATAGTGCACGTATTCTTTTTAGTGTCGACGTATATACACGCACAAATGTTTATAGCCGCGTATAATTATTACTGTTATTTAGTTTATTAGTCGAATGCCATGATCGTTGTATTTGGTATATTTGGCGAGGTTTGTTCAATGTAGAGTCGAGTGGGATAAATCGAGTTTTGATCCGTTTGTTAGACTTGTTTATTATAAATTATTTTTTGTCTCATTATAAGATCAAATTTCCGTTAAGCTGTAGTTTTTCTGTGTACAATTTTTCTTAAATACACTGGGATACACAACTTTAATATTTCCGTCTATTATATTATTGAGTAAACTGAAAGAATTAATTAGTAATAATTTATAATTATTACTTTTGCTCGTGATATAGACTCACAACTCTTTGTGCTCTTAAGACTATTAATCAAATATTGTGAAGCATGCTGAAATTAATGTAAAAATTATTAATGTCTTGGAATTGAAATTGTATTTTTTTATTTGTGTGTGATATTTCAAACTGTATTTTTTAATAATTTTATCCCACTGGACTATTGTAATTTATTGTCACTGATAAATCGGAAGGTGTTGGACATTGTCATTGTTAAGCTAATTTTATATACATACATACCAAGTTCTCTTCATCCGAAGTAAATTGATTATTCATACATTTCATAAACAAAAAAATATGTGGCAACTTACTTTTGTTTTTTTTTTATTATTGTTATACTAATAATCTATTCCAGCTCAATAAATACGTACATTATTCGCACATTTACCACTTTTCAATTTTATTTCTAATTGAATGGTTATTTTTTATTTAATTTCAAAATTAATTAACAATAACGGCATCTAGCCGTGAAATTTTGGATCCCTGGAGTAAAACAAAGGCAAACAAATCATTTTAAAAATCAAGTGGTATGTAATATTGGTTTCTATTATTAAATACTTGTGGCCAATAATTATCGTTGTTAAGTGTATTATAATAGCAATTCTTATTGATTGAATTAAAATTATTCATACATATTACAAAAGTAAAATGAAATCGTTCTATTTGGAACAACCAAATTCAATTACTGATCACAATGTATTTTGATAATGTAAACACTAGGTGATTAAGGAGTTTTCTAATTACAGGAAATGTATAATGTCCTGTAACATTTTTCCTTTACAAGTTCTCAAAATATTAATACGTACTGGTATTTTTAAAGTATTTTATAGAAACCACACATTGAAATGTCAGTATTTGCATAATAATCCTAGAATTTCTTTTCAAATTTTTTTGTAATTTGAATTTTACCATATAGATTACTGCTTCACAAAATATAGCCTAACTTTAGCTCTATCTCCCTGTACTGGCATCTCAATGAAAGTGTATTTCACTTAAAACGTATACAGCTTTACAGCTGCATTAACCATTTTCATCTAACACAATATTTGGGGCCATGCTAATAGCAAGTAGTTCCAAGACAATTTCTTATAGTGCCGGTCTAGTATGCGATCTGCCATAATATTTGAAGTCTACCAACATATTTCGTCGCCCAAGTATATTTAAATACATAGGTGTCATTTTGTAAAACTGAAAGTGGTTGTGAACATGTCTCACAAAACTGCAAATGTTTGTCTATTTAAATTTTTTCTATCCTATACTAAACGAATAAAACTTACTCTGTATTATTCTGATACTTCTGTATTTATCGATAAATTGAAGAATTACTTACCTACCTGCTATTCCATACATAATATAATACTAGTAAAATCTGTTCGTTTGCTTAACGAAAATAGGTTTATTTACGTTTAAATTAATACTGGTTATACTTCCCCATTCTCGGTAAGTTGAATTACACAAAAGCTGTTATATCAATAATGCATTACCAGTAAAAACGTTCCTTTTGCATAATAAAGGGTCAATTTTCAAAATCTTGCTGTTGTACTATGAAATAAATTGGGTAGACCGCATACTAAACCAGATGCGATATGGTAGACCGAATACTAGACCAGCACTTTTCTTCCTACAGGATACTTACACATAACAAATGAAACAGCACAAAGCACATTCTGCATTAATTTCAGAATACAAGGCATTCTTACAATATAAGATAAAAGTTTATTACATGTTACCGCCTTCAGGAAATTACTGAAATATTCGTATTCCTCAATTTTTGGAATTGTTTAACGACTGCAGTAGTTACTAACTTATAAAAAATACTTGGACAAACTTTGATAAAAAATTTAAGTCCACTAGATGTTCAACTAACCGTAACTATTAAATAAACTACATTTCATTTGAATTTTCTAGCACAAAAAAGCATTCGATTTTGTGTAGTACAATTGTTTCAGACTAAAGGTTATCTATAAATATTTAGTGTTAAGTTTGAAAATCGTTATTTGACAAATATTGACATAATAGACTCATCCATGAGAAAATTGTTCATAATTGAGTTCATTTTATTGCCAATAGATTTTTCAATTTATATCAATCTGGAAGAAATTTGATGTTTAATATATGTGATACTCAGAACAGAAAAGAATATAAAATTAAACCTCGAGTTCTTAAAGAGACAAGCTATTTTACCTATACATTTCTGATTATAGGTTTTTTTCCTAATAGAATTTTCTTCAAACTATCAAAGTTTTCGATACTTTCTCTTCTTCCTTCCTTTTGAGTCAAATCTACTAATTTCTCTACCACTATTTATAGCAGAATTTTAAGTATTAATCTTGCTTGTTTTGTTCAAATATCGGCAATTAATCTTTCATTACATAAAAAATTTCTATTTACATGATTTGAGGGTTTTACATACATTTATAACATGTTCATTAGAACAGGTATTGTTTGATTTTTATTGTCTTGAAACTCATTGTTTTCTAATTCACAGCGATTGTAATACTTTTTATACTTTAATTCCCTCTGCCCATAATAAAATCGCTTCATTTCCTATTCGTATAATTATCTTTTGTGCTTTTGGTTTAATTTTATTTATGATTGCCTTAACCTAAAGTGATGACGACACCAAACTAGTAGTCAGTAATGTATTTTAAATTGGTATTGAATTTTCTAATTTATTGTGTGCGATTTTTAAACGAAAATCGTGTATCCTAAGTATTATCATATCAACTTCTCGTTGAGTGCGCGATTGGTTTGTATATAATCGAGGAATTGAAAAAATAATTGAGCTTGTTCAATTTATTACAATAATGGATGCCTTATTTAGACCCAAGTCAAAAAATGTCTTTTGTATTAGTCAAAAGAGTTGTACAGGGATTTTTAATAAAATCCAAATCTTATAAGATCCGCTGTATACTTTTGTATTTTTGTATGTCGTTTTCCAGCTTCAGAATTTTTTATGCAACGCCAATATTTATAAATCGTGGGTTTTATTAAATGACGATCTAATACTGTTGTTATTACAATAAAATTTTGTTCCTTTGTAATTTTTTATTACGTTCTGTATTTGTAAATATTGCTCTTTAACAATTTAATAAAGTATTTCTCTTATTGTCTTATAAGTCGCGCTAGTTGTAAAATATGAGATTGTTTTTCTTTTCATTTTCAATTTGATGTAAAAATAATATCTAATTCTGAAGGCTGAATAAAAATAACGTCCATGATATTTTAGACATATTAGTAATTTTGTTTTATATACCTTTTGTACATACATACACTTTCTGCATATTTGACTATAATTTGTAATAAATAATAACCAACAATAATTGTACGTTTTCTTAATAATCTATTAGTGTATATATTACAAATTGATTTATGAGAGAAAGTTGTTTACTGTATGAATGAGGGTCTAAAGTAAACTTTATAAAATTAATGTCTGATTAGTAACATCTCTTGTTTATAAATTTCTTCTCTGATATCCCTTATTCTTTGATGATAAAATGATGATAATTAAAAAAACAACCAAGTTTAAAAAACAATTTCTTTATTTCAAAAAACATTCATAATACTTATGCTTACTGTCAATAAAATAATAAAATTTATTTAGCGGTAGTATAATGTATAAACAAAAAAACTGTACAAATAAATAAATCATCTGGTTACATAAATAGAATGAACATCATATTCGATTATAAACAATTACCAGCAATGTTACGGATTTATCGACAACATATAACATTCAAACTATCTGTTTTATGGCATGCGATTTTGTATAATCTTTTCAAAAACATCCATGCATTTTTTGAAACATTACTATACATCTCGGATATAAATTTTAAAATATTACAGACAAGTTTAAATTTTTATTATTCTCAGTTAGAACGGTTAAGGGAAGGTAAATTGTGACATTTATTTAAAAATAGGTAAAATATGATAGACACCAAAAAAGGGGTTTTGATTTATTCAGAAAAGACTACAAAAGATGCCATATTCTTAAATTTATGTTAAAGAGCACACAGGATACTGACATACTATGTGGCAGGCGCGTATAGAGTGAAAATATATATTCTTTTCATATATCATAGGTAACAAAATAAGAATTTGAGGTGATGTGACGAAATGGCAAGGTACATAGCAGATAAGGTTTTGGTTGTTATCTATTTTTTAACCATATTCAACATAGATCAGTCACAATGATATATTTGGTAATTGAGTAAAAGCAATACAACATATACGATTAATCATTTTTATTCACCCTATCTAAGATAAATTCGTTTTTCTCAATTTTTAAATTATTAAAAAGTTATAACTGGACTATATTTACAATTCATTTTTTTGATACTTCTAAACTTTTATTCGTCAAATAATGTAATTTTGGCTAAATAACGTAGCTCCAGTGATTTTCGCATTTTCAAGAAACAAAAAGCAACACGTAATTTTATGAACGACATGAAAAACAAACACTCTTTAATCTTCGATTATGTTTGTTATGAGGAAATGATCTTTTTTAATTACATTTATACGCCGAGGAACTTATACTTACTCTTGATTACCTACCATTCTGTTTTCCTTCTTGTGTTCTGGGGGTAATCTTTGGAAATCAAAACGCGAATTTACAGTAATCCTTCATAAAAAATAACATAGAATGGAAATTGGCTGACGGCTTGCAACATATAGAATCGAGCACTCATATAGCACAATAGTAGGAAATTATCCCTTAAATTCGCGTTATGACATGGTTTTTTTCATTCACGTTTATTTTTATACATATTGTTAAGAACATTATGTATTCAGTTTTTCTTGGGGTACTTTTTATATTGCTATTTTTGGTTTTTAATGTATCTAAAATACCAATGCAGCAACTAGGAGAAATTGCAATAGAAGTATAAGTATCTTGACTATAAGGAAGTGTTTCTTGAAAACTGGTTTGTTTAGTTCAATTTACATTTTTTCAGTTGTCGTTTTCTCCCTATAATTATGCAAAATATTTACAAGGACGGTTTGAAATGAATTTCGCAAATCAATAATCAGTCATATTGTGAAATAATTATAAAAAACAGTTCGATTGAGCAAAATCCACGTCAAACCTTTATGAATCACATACATATAGGTAACATATTGTAAATAAATAATATACATTTTTGGCATCTTTGAAATTCTTACACAAATAGACTTTGGTATTTTTTTGGTATAAAAGGCTCACTTTGTAAGCTTTCTTCTCTTTTTTTTTGGTACATCACACTTAGTTAATTGAAATGATTCACTTTCATATCAAGTTTATGTTTGTTTTAAATTTGTTACACTAACAAGCCTCTGTGAAGGCGTACCACCAACGATCTGGACAAGTTTTCTTCGCCTCCCGTTTTCTTCTTCGTTTCTTCGTCGCTTCCATTTGCTTTTTTACGAATTTTACGTTGTACGGATCTTCGGCCAGTTCGGGGTACAGTTGAACGTCGTGAATGTACTCTCCTTCATAGTTGCTCACGTATCCTTCCTTCGATAGCTCTTCCAATTCACTGACACTCCAATCCATGTTCCCCGTTAAGCCGTTCTTGAAGCATTCCTTTTCCTTGTGCCAAGCTTTACGAATTACCGATAACTTAGCGTGATGTAGCAAGCGCTGTTTCTCCTTCTCAACTGTAGTTCCATACCGCAAATTTATAACTACGTTTGATCCGTGGATTCTAACATCGAAGTAGTTTGTACCGCTGCCGTTTTCCTTGGCCTGGAATGTTGTGTTCACTTGTCCTTGAAGACGTTTTAATTGACCTATATGATGAATTTTATTAGTATTAACTCGCGATGATTCGTTATAGCGTGCTTACCATTGTCATCGTTGGCTTTCCATGTTTCGTCTTTGACGAAATGGAATGCGTCTTGTGCGCTGTGTACAATAAAAGTGAAGGGCAATAGATAAGACCGGTTGAACACCGATGTATAGACGTCCCTATAAATCGCATTTGCAGCCGGAACACTAGATACGATCGCTTGCGCAGATTCGGTTTGAGATACCAATATTCCCCTGCCGAAGGGATGATCTGAAGCGGAGCCGATTTTTTTGGGAACCAAGTCTATGACGTTCGTTTTTAGGGCCGATTTCGAAAATACTGATAATTCTTTAGCCGTTAGCATTTTCCTGGAATTCAGATGGGACAGAAACCCTGAATGCACCTCAACGGAAGACGGCACGTTCAGTTGTCTGTTGAGACCATTTGTGGACGGATTCCAGAATGTTGGCATATGAGAAAGAAAAGGGGGCATTTTACCACCAGGAAGATCATCTGGGTATAATTGAGGAGCCAAGTTTTTGAGATTAAAACCTATCTTCTTTAACCAGTCTAGATGGTCTGTAAAATATATACAATAGTAAAGATTGATACAGTAAACCAATATTAACATTACCTTCCGGACGTTTCCTGTCCAACTCAACATTAATAGGATCGTTTCCGTTAAATCTGTACAAATGCAGATGAGTGGGAGTTGGTATTCTTTCAGGAACATTTTCCCATAATGGAGACATCCATTGGCCTATCAGAGGATCATAAACTTTACCATTTTTCATATGAACCAACGAAGTCACCTGAAAAGTGAACATTAATAACACTTCCTAACGCTAACTTTAAAACCCCTTACTTGATCTAGTATCCCTCCGCAGAAATCGATTGGAAGATAGAGATACGGATTTGAATCATACACAATATGTCCATAAGGCGATCTCATTATTTCCCTTATACCTTCGCCGTATTGATTGAATATCATTACTGGTGTACCGCACTGATCTGTAGCTACGTAATACTTATGTCTGTAGACTTGGGCGTAAATTAAATGGCCTCTGTTGTCGTAGACTAAAGACATCAATTTTCCATCCCTGGGCGAGTAAATCTGACTCACCTCGCGATGGTTTAAAGCGTTGTTGTAAAAGAATTGCGTAACATTGCCAAAATTATCTTTTCTAGCCGACAGTCTAAAAATTTAATAAATTAAAATTGTTGCAAAAATTTTATTGAATTACACGTACCTATCCATGTGATCATAAAAGTATCTAACATCAAATCTGCTTCTTTTTATCGCTCGTACCAGAAGACCTTTTGAATTGTAGTGGAACTTTTCCTCCCTAGCGTTTTGTATAACCATGCCTCTGCTATCATACTTGTACTGTCCTTCACCAAACTTGATGATTCTATCCATTGGATTGTATTCCATGGGAATGGTGTTGCCTCTGAAAAATTAAACGCAACAGTTTCGTACATAGTACTTATTAACTTTATCAATTCTGCTTTACCTGTATGTTAATGATAGCATATTTCCGTTGTCATCGTATCTGAATCCCCAAGGTTCCTGCGCCTCAACTCCTAGAAGTTGCCCGTCACAGTCCCAAGTATAATTCTTGACGTTGGTGTAAGTATTAACACCAACATTTTTGGTATAAGTTCGTGTTTGTGAGATTCTCCTATAAAGTAAAATAGCCATTAAATATAGCTTGATTTGATATAGCTAATGACGATTACCCATGAATGTCGTGATTGAATTCCATACGGAACACCTCCATTCCATGAATTGTCAACGCCAATCTTGTTTCTAAAAATCTCGAGTTAACAGTACTGGAGAATAACGCCGTGCCGTCGTACACGTTAGTTTCGTTTATTCTTAGTTTGATTATTTTAAAAGGTCCTATCATCTCTAAAGACCCAGTCTTATAGTTGTACCCCAAATTGTGCAGGGGCAAATTTTGACCACCGATTCTGCCTTGCGCAGTAATAAGTCTGTAATTATTGTCATAGTCGTAAGTGAATTTCGCGTTGCTCAAACCAGTTTTGGCACCAAAGTCTATTCGTTCTTCCATCAATAAACCTCCTGTGAATTGGTAATCCCATCTGTACTCCAAATCTTGCTCTACGTGGTTCACCTGACTCGGCAAGCCGGTCGTTTCTGAATACTGATAGAAAGTTTTACCGTCGCCGTGGACGACTTCTTTAAGTTTACCGTTATTGTAGTATCTGTAAATAATTCTGGCTCCTTCTCCAGGGAAGATTGTTTGCAGAAGCCTTCCATCGTTGGCGAAATGTTGCAGGTACGATTTATTACTACCAGGTGGAGTGTACGTGGCTCTTATGAATCCTATAGTTGGTTGAAGGCTGAACGAATGCCTTGTACCACTAGGTAAGGTAACATGTATCAAACCACCGTTGTCGTCGTAACTCAATGAGTAACTTCTTTGGCTAGCTAAAGTTATTTTAGCCAGCATATTAGTATCGTCGTACGCGTATATTTGGGTACCGTCCAAAGGACTGGTCACTTCGGAGAGTAATCCGTGCCTGTCGTAGCTGTATTTCAACTCGGAAGCACCCCATTTCCAGCTATCTATTCTGTTGAAATGATCGTACGTGATATTCAACGAATCGGCTCCGTTATACGGTGTGTATAAAAGAGGCAAACCGGCTGGATCGTATGTTATTGTTATTAAAGGAAGCTTGTCGATATCAAAGAACGTTTCTTTGCTGGTGAATTGATCGAATTCGATGCCCAGGATCTTGGAGTTGTTGACGAATATCTCTCTGTAGAGGGTCTGCTGGGGATTTCTTACGTCGCCTACTAAACTGAAGGAGGTGGACATAACGTTTTCTAACGAGTCGCCAAAAGTTGTTGTTTGTTCAGACCAAACAGGCAACAGCTCAGCTTCGACGGGTAGGGAAGCTTCGAGAAGAGGATGACGGGCTATGGCGCACATTTTTATCGAACCATCATAGGAAGTTTTTAATGCCACGGTCGAGTTTGTTAAGGTTTTAATGTCGATTATTTCTTTTTCTACAAGAAACGAAATAGTCAATTACTATTGGAGTTACAAATTTTTAATATTTAATGGGAATGAAATAAAAACATGTTTAGAAAGAGACAAGAGATTTACTGGTTTCTACCAATATTGCCTTAATTAATGATAGCTGCTTCAGTAATTAATTTATTGCTTTCATTATTCAACCCGTATTCCAAATGTACTTACTATCAACTATTAAAACATGTTTGTTGACTTTTCCGGTAATTCTCAGCAAACTAGGCGGTCGATTGACTGAAACTTCCAAACTACCACTTTCCGAAATTTTCGATGTTAATTGTAACGTTTCTCCGCTGGGTAAAATGACTCCCGTAACCCTGCCCAACCAATCATATTTATAGATGACGGTCTCGCTGCCCTGGAAATAATAAAACTGCTCTAAAAATCCCGTAACGACAATTTTCCTATTAAATGTGAAATGCTTCTCGTAAATTTAAAATGTAATACATTGGAATCGTTTGAGTCGGCCTGCAATTTTCCTGATTCATTGGGTGTTTAATGTACTTACATAACGAATTTTCAAATATCATTCGCTTCGTGGATTGCGCGGGGTTTACATTCTGCGGTAACACCCCAGTGTAATCACCTCTCAATTTTATTAAAGTAGATTCATAGTTCATAAAACTTTAATGCAATGGGGTTAGTTACCCCGGAGTAGCGAATGCCAGCGAGGCGGGCCAGTTTTCATTCAGTAATCCGGAACAGGGCCGTTTGTGATACAATAGGGGATGTTTGTTTTAAAAGCCCTGCTCACAATGGATTTTGTCAATAAAATAGCACTTTTACCATTTAACGTAAACGTTGTTATGCAATGAACGTGCATTTTTACTAGTAGATAAATAATGGTGCAATGTTACGCAAAAAAATACACGTAAGTAATCCGGCCCTGTTTTAACGCCATATCCATTCCAGCCATCTTTTTTTATTCAGTTTAACCAAATATCCTGCCCTGGAAATTTTACCAGCCCTGCGGTTTAGAGTGTTTTCCACGGGATTGTGTAATAGAACAGGGTTTTATTACGCGAGAGTGGACGCCTAGCTAAGAATGATGACTATGACATCGGGGTTACATTTTACTGATACTTATATAGGTCGCCGAAGTGCTGTGTCAACGCGGATAGTTTGCACTTTAATAGCGTTTTAGGGAATTGCTTTTAAACTGTTTAACAACATAAAATTTGATACATTCAAGATAAAAGAGATTCTTTTATCTTAACCATTTTGTTTGGAAAATTAAAAATTAAATTTATGGGGCAATATTACTTGATCAAATTAAATTATTGAAGTAATTTGGTTATTGAATTATTTAACTAAAATTATTTCAAAGCCATATCTGGAATTTTCTCTTTTTATTACCCCATTTAAGTCTTCTTAACGATGAATAAAATTATGAGTGCCAAATATCAAATTTAAATCATCCGAAAGTTACGAGTCACGAAAGGAATACCTAAAACGGCCCATTACTAATGAAATATCCAAAGTAGTTAATCAAACAAAGTTGTGAATTACCATTTAACTATTCTTTTTTACGATTATATGTACTAATGTTATATTTCACTGAGAATTTCGAGCCACAAGTAATCATACGTATTTTAAGATGGATCAATTTGTCCCGTGAAAATCTAAATTAATTACATATTCCGAAATGTTTGAAAAGAACGATTACTCACCCCCGATCTGCTGGCCAGCAGCCCCGTATTCATATCGTAATCCAGCTCGATATCCGCCCGTCCTTTTTCGCTCAGTTTCACCAAATATCCCACTCCTGAAATTTTCAACTCGGACTTGTGGTCTTGAGTGTTTTCGATGGAACTGACGGCGTTGCTATAATCTCTCAGGAACTGAATTTTATTGCCCGAACTGTCGGTAACAGTGGACAGTTTGCCGAAGGACGTGTTCTTGGAGTAAAGGAACGTGTAGCGGGTCTTGTCCGAAGCTAGGTCTTTAGTCGCAACGTGTTGACCTAGTTTAAAAATTAAACCAATTACGATTTAATAAAGAAGGCGAAGAGTACGATTTAACTATGCGATTGAAAATAATTCAGCGGAAAAAGGGCATCACGAAGCCCTGATTCCGTTTCATTTAAATGTCGAAAAATTAAATTTACCGTATCGATTGAACACGTAAACTTCTCCGACCGCCGGATACGGTATGCGAAACTCCCCGTTTTCATCGTGTGTAGGAAGGTAATGTTCCAACGACAAAATGTGTAATGAGCCTTGATCAGCGACATGTAATACTCCACCAGGAGATACCGCTAGAGCAGAAATTGCCTGGAAATAAAAAACAAATACACAAAGTTAGGTTTGTTGTCTGAAGCAACGATTCGATGTCCTGTAAAGCGGAAAGTTTAATACAAACTGAGCGTTTAAATTCTAACATAAAATAAAAAAGTAAATGCCGGGAGCGACAAAGTTTAATGTACCTTTCTGTTATACTTAAACAATTTAATTTAATAATATCCAAAATATGTAGTAAGTGTAAAAGAAATTTTGTGTTTGAAAATGTTCCTTACCTGGAAACGAGCACTTGACGACAACAACGTTTCTGCATTGCTGGTGGTTTCATCAGGGACAAAGCAGGAACATGATGGACTTGGATTCGCTGTTGTATTATTTACCGCACAATCGCAATTCTTCCTGTACTTCTCCGGAATTTTGCCAGCAAAGTAGGTGATTTTGCCTGAAATTACGCGAACTCAATCATCAATATCGTTAAGTAATGTTACAAATTACCTGATGTGTCTATTAATCTGATAAAGTAAATGCTGTGAGAATCCGACTCCGCAACGTAAATATCTCCGTTGGGCGCGAAAGCTAATGCTAGTACCGTGCCCAAAACATTTTCGTTGATCTTAGTGGAGTTATCCTCTCTGTGGCAATGCAGAGGAGTGCCAGCTACAACTTTCACTTTGAGGTCTACTGTTAGTTTAAAAATTAACCTGTCGTCGATAAAGTGAAGGGATCCGTCTAAGGGACTCAGTGCTAGACCAGTTGGCCACTGTAACTGCACCTGTAGAAAAGGTACCTCAAGTAAATTCATAAGAAAAGAGAATGTAAATTAGTACATTGCGTGCTGGACAGGTTTTCATTTCATCTGCCAAGATATTCCTTGGTGATTTTGAATGTATAAAAACGATTACGTGTTTGCAATTACCTGGGAACGCTCATTTCAATATTTCAAACGTATATTCAAACAGATATTTTCTTTAGAATTTACATGAACAAATATTTTAGATTACACGTACACATGCAAAATTCTTTTGAAAAATTTGTTGGAGAAGAATTTGCATTACTACATTCTTTTCTTTTTCGTCGGGCGCAATTAACTGTTTTTTAAATTAAATAACGCATTTTTTATGCAATTAGTCACCCGCAATTATATTTTAATCGAGATAATTATTCGAGATTTAGATTTTCCATTTTAGTTTATTGTCAAATAACACGCGACGCCGTCCGTTTCGAATTTTTTGCGGGGGAAGAAATTAAAACTTACAGAATTTAATTATTGCTAGATATCACGCCAGTTCAAATACACTAGTAATAAGTAAAATGTCTATTATACTTCGTTTATTCTATTTATTCATGCGACTATAATTAAACTTTTAATAAGAAATAAAATAGTTATGGTAATTTACCTGCGAAGCCTCGACGGCTCCTCTACAGGGTATAGGTGTCCATCGGTTGTGATGACCGTGGTTTCCGATGAGAGTGTGAATGATACCTTTGGGATCAACAGCTCTAATATTAGTACCGTCTGCTATGTACATGGTACCATCCACTGCAATTGCTATTCCCTTGGGATGCGCGAGTCTGGCCTGTTTTGCAGGGCCTTCGTCCCCGCAGGCAGACTCATCGCCAGGAATACATCGTTCTCCATTACCAACAACCTGTATTTAAAAATAGTATATTCACGCACAACGAAATTAATTCTGATTGTTGATGTAGAAATTAAGAAGAAGATGTGGAAGGTGGTGGTCAGATTAGTAGATTAAAACTTACCGGTTCGCTGTTGATACTTGGATCTTGGACTGGTTGTAGCATTAAAACTTTCAAAATTTGATGCTTTTCTGGATCTGATACGTAAAGGCGACCATCAGCTGGAGAAATCGTCAGGTAATATTGATATGCTACCTGAGTAGCTCTGAAATAAAAATAAACTCAATTGCAAAGACATAAAATTTAAGCATTAAAAAATGTGTACGCATTGATTAATAATACTACGCGATGAATATTAAATTATTTAATACCAGTTGCGTAAAACCCCTAAACAGAAACTAATTTCACCTTTTCCTATTAATTTTAATCCGAAATATAAGCCCTTTAGCTACTGGTCCCGAAACTTCTAACCCTCAAAACTTAACCCCAACTATTCCCTACGAGAACATAAACTTGTCATCGCTACCACCCACTCAAAAACGCATACATCTTACCTTAATTGCAACATCGTATATACATTACCCTTGGGAGTGATCCTTTTGACCAAATTGAAAACAACCTGCGTAAACGCCCGCGTCGGCTTTTACACGCCACATTTATTTTGATAATGCATTAGTGACGAAACATTTACATATTTCACCCGCACTGTTTTATTTTAATGTGAATTAGGAAAATTACCTCAATTGCAACACCGTGTAGACATTCCCTTCAGGAGTTATTCTTCTGACCAAATTGAAATCGCCGACGTATATACTGCCGTCCGGTCCAGTTGCGAGTGACCCTGGCGTTAAAAGCTTCGCGTCCTTAGCAGGACCGCCGCATTGGCCAGGACAATTCAAAGCTCTCTGAAGACCAGTTCCCATAATAACTCTGACCATACGAGGGTATTGCTTGAAGTGTATAGTGGACCCGTCGCCTTTCTGAAGTATTCCTGAAATAAACGTTACTGTAACAACACCCCGCCCATCTCCGATACCTCCATTTGCAAAAATTTGTAAGCGTTAAATAATATATCGGGGTATTGAACCCCGCAGTCGGCATTTTCCTTTATTATTCGGAAACTCACCTTCATGAAAATTGTAGTGGTGATGGATGTCCAGACCCCAGCCGCCTATATCAGAAATGTCAACGTCGAAACCTTTAATATCGGTTGTTAAGGTCTCCCAAACGGGATCGATGCACGTGTTGTGTTGGTAGCCGATAGACACTTTTGCCTGAACGATGCCGTACACTTTTTGCTTGTAAACGTTCCGTTTGTTCCATGCGAACGTATGCATCAAATTAGGGTCGGCCTCGTAGGTTTTTGTGTGAAGGGAACCCTCGACTTCCACCCTAAAAGATAGGGAAATTTCGAAATAAAATTATCCCTTGAAATGAGTGGTGTTTCTGGAATAAGAGTTAAGTACCTGACGTGCACGTGAGTTAAAGAGCTGGGAATGGTGGATCCAGTCAATTTCATAAATATGATACTCAAATATCCTGTGGCTTGGGAGCTCTGATACAAAATGTGCAGATCCGATCCTGGTATTGCTATGGATTCTTGAACGATTTGCGTTTCGGCAAAAACAACACTTTTACCTAAATAATAAATTTAGGTTATTCCGAATAAAACCAATAAAAAATACGATATTATTACCTTGCATGCCTCCAACAGCTTCCGGCATCCATGTTCCGGTGACAATAGGGTTCAAAATTTCGGAATCGTGGTCCTCACAGGTCAAGGGCAGTTCACTATTCGGTCCGAAGAAACTGCGAGAAACTCCAGGGAAATTCAACGCTACATTTCCTGCGAGGAAACTAAAATAAAAAGAAAACCTAATTACCGCATCGGACGAAACAATTCCGGCAAAACAATTTATAAATATATACCGAACTCTGTGAGCAAATTAAAATCCAATTCAATTAAAAAGCCATAATAATTAATAAAGTTCAAACCGAACATGTTTGCTTCGTTTGAATTTAAAAAGCGTTTCCTTGTCGAATGTTTGTGTCTGAATCGGTAATTATGCACCCGAATAAAGCGTTTTGTGAAAGACGTGAAGTTAATTGGCATTTCTCTGGGTATATTTGTTTAAAAATTTAACTTCTACCTTTCGGTTTGGGTATCGAAAATGCCAGTCAAAATGGATTCTTCTCGTTTAAATATAAATGCAAATGCGTCTGGAATCGGCAAAGACCCCAACCAATTGAAAGTACCTACGCGGTTTACTTGAAAGCAATTTAAAAACAATAAAACAACTACTCGATTTTTGACCAATACACCCTTAAATAAAAGTTTATAGTAGTATACTAAATAATTTATTACAATTCAGGAGCGTCTGTTTTCATCGTATTCTCATTTTTGTAAGTTGGCACAACAGACATTGTTGAAGTAAAGCTTGCGAGGCAAGCACATTGGTACTCATGCAGAAACTTGTATATTTTTAATAATCATGTGATATTACCTCTTTTGTTCTAATCCGATATCAGCCTCTTCGCTTAACTGCATGTGGACCGGTGGCAAGACTATTATTTGATTCCATGGAACGAAAACTGTAATTGTCTTCGGCCTGAAAGGCGACCTTTGGAATTGCAGGGTAACTGCCCCGCCGCCATTTACTAAAACGTCGAACCTGGAATAAAATTAAAAGTGAAATCTTAAATGTAAAATAATTTTCTGCACATTTCATCGCCTGGAAATAATAAAGAGAACTAGGAAAATTCATATCTTTCAAGGTGATTAATTTGAATTACTCGTCATATTATAATTTCCAACTATGGAATACATATTATTCAACAACAGTTGTTTAACAGGCGTTTGATTAAATTAGGCACGCCTTATTAGTTTGCAGACTACACTAGTATCGAATTATTCGAGTTCATACGTTCTTGTAACATTAATGTCCACGGCGTAAGGTGTAATGTGGTGTTCCTGGTGCAATATTCCGCAATAAAGCGAGAAAATAGACGCATTAACAAAGCGGTTCACCGACCTCCGGGAAAAGAAAAGTAAACCCTGGATGGGTAAATAATACTTAAGGTCACTGGCGTGTCCGCTTCGAATTACTTAGCGCGGACAAACAGATCGATAAGTTTATCTTAATTTTACTTAATGACATTTTATAGGGAATTAATGTAAGTGGATTTACGAATCCACTGCGTATCCCAAACTAATATCATGTATCGTTCAAGCGGTACTATCATCAATCAAGCAGAAACGTTTCTCCTCTTTTCATTAAACGTTCGAAACAAAGTTCGAAATCAAGTTTTGTTTCTAACGAAAATAATGTATTAAACTTTTCCCGGGATACGCTCGTGCAAACGATATAAATTGAAACAGGTTAGGAACGCAAAACGTCAGACGAAGGTCCATGAATTTAAATATAGGGTCCCGAGACATGCATCGGGTCCCATTGTAAACGTTTCAACGTTCTTGGAGCACGTCAGGATTATTATTTACTAGTTGGTGGTTTATTTGCAACTACCAACTTTGATAGTAGATTACGGGATTAATAGTTTGAGATACCGTGTACCCGAATACATTACCTCTGAAAGCGAAGGGACTGCAAGGTGTGGCTTGGGTAAATAGCCTTAAAGAAATTTAAGCTTATATGCATGACTAATGATAGATAATGAATGAAAGCCTAACGAAACCTTTCAATGATAAGGATCTTGGGATTCCTAAATAAACAAAATTAGTTGCGCCACAAAGGATCAAGAACAATTAAAATTTGACTCGGGGCACTTTAAAAAAATGAGAATGGATTAAAAAATGTCATTAATAATTTAGTGATTCGTTCAAAATTTCTGTTCTAATTTGGTTCTTCAAATGTATGGATTCGAGTCCTTTAGGTAATCATATCGCTTGAAACCTACGTAAATAAAATACTAGGGGATACCAGTATGATTAAAAGTGCACCTTTCAACTCGACCAGTAAAAATTGATACATAACGTTGATACATAAACAATGGCGACATTAATGACAATGGATGATTTGTTTTTCAATAGTTTCCCCATATAATTACGAAGCTTGTTCAAATTTCATTCGAAATATACCCCCCTCAGTGTCATTTATCTTTAATTAGCAGAAATTGCTTTATTAATAAAATTACCGAAAGTCTATTCCTGTGTAATGGAATTGTAAAGGGTAAAAAAGCTATTACAATGATAGGAAAAAGAAGTATCAAGTATCCCTCAAATAATTAATTACTAATGGTTAATGGTCTTAATACAGTAGATGAATCACAATATTCAATATCACTGCAATTAAACAGAAAATAAAACAATTTTGTAGTACCTACCTATTAAAATTACATTTAAATCGCATAATTTAACATGAATACCAAGAATACGCACACGAACACAAACAAGTCCGAACATGCAAACAAACAATATCATCCCTTAAATTCCGTTCGAGATCTTTAGAACTTAAAATAACGTCTCGGCAATAGATTCCGCCTGAACTTTAGCGAATTGCTCTAGACATTCTGTATAAAGCCCGTACAACTGCTTTACATAACATCAATTACCAAGTTTGCGCAAAGCTCTGAATCGACTTATTTTGGAATAGTGTTCTCATAGGAAATCAGTTTCTAAACAGGAGATGAAACTTTTAGATTTACTTGGAAAGTTCGAAATGACATTCCGCTCTGCAATGGGTATATTACCTGTGCGATTTTAATTACACCGAATAATGAATAAAAAAATAACTTTAACTATTTCGTATTTTATAAGTTCTCTTTGACTTTCTTAACGAAATATGTTATGATTATAGCAGTATTACAGAAGAACATCAGTTGTACGTACTTAAGGACACGCTTTGTATTTCAGCATATCTCAAACAGGATTTACGAATTTCAATAAATAGCAACCGACGTCCGTTTGCATTAAATCTCCAAATAACAGCAGTCCCTATGGTATTATTCAGATTATTGGGATTAACGACTCATGTCTCGACGCAACGAGGAACTCCATTCGTAGTTACAGTATGAAATTAACAGATTTTGTAGTATTTGATGTGGTTTGTCGCAAATTTGCAGCGTTATTCGATTTTAAACAGACGCACTCCATTGTTTCAACATTTGAGGTTTCGGTTTTCGAGCTACAAGCAAATCGACTATTATATCGAAATGTATAGTGTTTAACTCGCATCTATTACTTTGACCCAGGCTAGTACTTACCTAGATTTTCCTCTTATCCACTGTGACAATTAATATTAATAGCATCAATCTACATTATATGTGTGAATAACAAAGTACAAAAATGTTTGAAAAAGAGATAGTATACAAATAAATCACCCTGTACGTTTGAATCCTGAAATAATAAATACTGAATGATACTCCAATGAATGAATAAATTAATAATTTTAGTTCTCCACTTCTACCTGAAGCGTTAATTTTTCAGTGTCTACAATTTTCCTAATTATTATTGATGAAGCGTTCGACAACAGGCAAATTTAATTAGAAATTCCGCCAGAGGGAGTCAAACAAAAGAGACTCGACAACCATGAAAACTTTCATGCAGAATTTGAAAAATAAAACCATCAGAACTTCGCAGACGCTGCATGAATTTTACCATAAATTCTAATTGTATATTGCGACTCTCGGTGATAGTATCAATTGCTGAACTTGAGACAAAAAGGAATGAAAATTGAAGTAAACTTTTTTTTAATTTTTAAAACAACAAAATTGTGCAAAAATATGAACATTATCACGATCTTTCAGTGATAAATAATCACTTCGTATTGTGTATAATGATAAATTATAAAAGACAATTTACTTAAACAGGATTATTTTTTCTTGTATCTACTTATAAAAAACGAATGATGATATTATTCCTAATCTTCCGAATTTAATATTCAAACAGTGCCGTCTTCGATAAGCGTCTTCCAGTCCTTAATAATCTTTACTTTTTAATTCTCCTTATAAAGGAATTTGTCAAAACAAAAATCTCATTTAAATTTGAATAGCAGAAGTAATTTAAAAAGGATCGCACTTACCATCCGCCCTGTCTGGTTAGGGTGAATCCAAATCGAGATTCCTTATCGACGGACACTCGAATGCCGACAATTCCCAATCCTTGGGGAGTCACAACCTGGCCCCTCATCACTGCAACTCGGCTAATCAATAATAATTTAATTAGTAACGGACAAATAACAATATATATCACAACGATAGGAGCCGTTATCGAAAAGTTTTTCAATTTGGCATCGAGCGACAGACAAAACTTTTGGTAGTTTCAGAGAGGAAAGGAAATTCACCTATACAATTGTTTTTTAGGTATATAAAGCTTTGTTATTTATTTGAGAGTTTCCTGCAATATATTTAGTCGTTTAGAAAAAGTTTAAGTATCAAACTTCTTGTCTTCTTATGTATTTTTATATTGGAAAATCTAATTATCTATATTAATTTTTAAATTATGTAATTTAATTATCTAATAATTCGAATGCAAACTAAAAATTACCTATATTAAATTTTTATCACAAGTTTACTTTCATCTGATATTATCTAATAATTTACACTATGTAATTAGGTTTATATATTACTCGTACATTATAAAAGGCTGCAATTAATTCATTTTGCACCCATTTATTGTATTGCTCAAAAGTTTTGTTTAATCGCTATAGTATTATTCTAAAGTGAAATTAAAATAAATATTTATATTATGTGATATGTGTTGGACTTTATTGCTAAAAATATTTTGATAAAATAATATTTTGCTGTTAATGTTGATTCCATTTTAGTGACAATTATTGTGTAGTGCATAAAATAGACTCATTGCATTGATTTAGTCTATTAAAGAATAATAAATGTGATTATTACATTAAAAATTGAAAATAATATGGATAATAGACAATTTAGCCAGATATATTCGTATGATTGGAAATTGCATCCACCAAAATTGAAAATGTGCATCAGATATTATATGCGTTTATGTTTAAAATGTAATTTAATTCAATTTTATATTCTTTATTGTCAGTTTAATTTTATATTTGTATCGTATTAATGAGAATTGATAAATGATTATTATCATACAAGAATTAAAAGGAATAAAAAAATATATAATTATAATTTCATATGATATCGTGTAAAAGTAGGTATAAGCTTTTATATTTGAAAAAGTAATTATCTACACAATAATGAATCAAATTTATTTAAGTATTTGGATATTCAATTTCCAAATAATTAATTTTCTATAGGTGAAATATTTATTTTTCATGCCTTTAATTACATAGCCAAATTTGTTTAAATCTATATTTTATAAATAAAACCGCATTTGGTTTGAAATGAAATACTTTTAGCAATAAACAAGTCGGGCTTCAATTATAAACTCCGATGCATTTCAGTGCGCAATTTAATGACAGCGAAGATAAAATTACGCAAAAATATTTTCGGATTTATAGAATTTTAATTAAAAATATACCCATGCACGAATTTCAGAGCACCGATTATCAAAAGCTGTTATAAAAGCTGCGCATTGCTGAAAAATACAAAATAAATATTGAATAAATCACGTTTCGATACTTTCCAATTAATAGTAAATCAAATTAATCTAACATAATTTCTCTTGAACCCTTTAATTTACGGTAAATAATAAAATGGTCGAAATCTGTTACAATGATAATTTAATTTTGTAAACTGTTGGCATTCGCAAATGGCAATTAAATTAACCCACATTTAATACCTACTCCATAAAAATTAATATTCGTTAATTGCTCGTTGAAGATTTATTGATTTTGTATTTTTCGAGAAACATAATTGTGCAGGCATTTTTGATGTAACACTACATAACTATTTTGCTATATCATGTGTGTAACATCAAATCTAGGACACCTAAATTACGTGAAAACTTGAATTTTTATATTGTTGTGGATACGATGAACTATTTTTATATTAGTGACTAAAAATCTACTCCTAATAATTTTAAATGAAAAATAAATAAATAACTTACAATAATTCGAATTATGAGAAAACGTATTTTTGTAAGGTTTCAATAATGTCTAAATTTACTTACTTACCAAATGCTGTCATATCATCTCTCTCCAAATTTGATGTTATCTAATAAAAAAGCTAAACAGCGAAGAAAATGGACTATTTTTTAATAATATGTTTTTAGAATGTTTTTAGAATCTGATTTTCCGTTAAAAAATAGCCATTTCATATTTTCCAGAGAATGCTATTTTGTTTATTTTACATTCATTTTATTAATTTACAAGAATAATATTCAGTAAAAAATTTATAACCAAATATTTCAATTTTAAATAACATTCATCTGGTGTAATTTTAGCTTGCGAATAGAAAAAATGTATTTTTTTGGTAAATCTACATCAACGTAATCAATAAAAATAATTCACCGTTCCACTTGTAGTTTTGAAATGAAATGGTGTAAAGTGATTCGATCATAATGCAAAAAAATGCAAGAGGTTTACTGAAAGGTGACAAGGACAAAGGTAATACAAAGGTAAAAACGATTTGGCATATGACACGTAGACAAAGGAGGGAGAACTTCGGCCGAGCCGTCATATAATATACATTAAAGATTTTTGTAGCATCTTGTGTTAACTTTGGTGGTTTTGGTATCCATTTTGTATATTTGTCAAATTAAGGAATGTTTCCAGCTATATCAAGCAAATACGAATTTACGATTCAACGCCATTATTCGACTGTAAAACACGTAAAACCGAGTGCCGTTTTATTATCAAATTTCCAACCAAACGAAGATATCATGCGTGTATTTAGATTTTCAAACAATTTTCATACTCGAATAAATATGAGTTCGATAAGGATTATTTATAGGAGTTCCATTTATATCAAAAATATTTTTTTTCAACCACGATACCCGCCAGGAAAAAGTTACTAATTCTCTATAAATCAAACGTCGATATTTCTTAGCTCAGTGAATCATCAGATCTACGGAGAAATAAATAACCCATTCAAAAAGTAGACATGTATATTTTGTCTCCATTTTCGGTTTCACCTATCTTCGCCATAAATTGCAAGGAAAATTTCTCAGCTGCTGCGACCACAAAACAAGAAAAATGTTACTTTCAACATCCCAAGGAAACAGCTGCCATTTATTTTTGCGGAGTCATTTGACGTTGTTTTGCCTCCGCCAGCGAACGGCTGGAATGCTGGATGGCGAATGCTCGCTAGCTCATCTTCTCGCATGATGAGATTGAATACAAAAAGTGATTTTCTCGGTGAAGATGTCTCGAAATTAGGTCGACGTGGAGTTGCGAGTAAACAGTGGCGTATTCCTTAATACATAAAATCGTTGTTTGAAACTTTTCTTGTATCCCGGAAAATGCTATTTATAGTTTCCCTATAATAACACTTTTAGTTGGGACAACTACTGTGATCCTGAAGATGCACTGACTTTCAATAATTACACCCGAATTATTTGTAAGATTATGGAAGGAAAATTTTGACCACCGCCACTGTTCTACAGATTTTCCTTTTTTGGACTAAACTACATTACATCCATGTAACCGAAATAATTTATTTCAAATGAACGTACACCAAAAAACACGTTTGCAGTCTCATGTTTCAATCATTCATGTAGAGATTTATTCTCGGCTTAAAAACATATCGAATATATGATGTAGAGAATTTTTGTTTAAATGTCAAAATAACTAGTCAATTATTGACTAAATATGATTATAAATACGTAAATATATTTGCTTGATATACAGTTTAAAGGTGTTTTTATATAAAATATTGTAAATAAAATGGATGTTTTACACGAAACAATTAGTAGATAGTAGAAGAGCACATGGACATTCACAGCAAATTAAAATATTCAGATTCTAATACATATTGATTATCTTATAATTTGGTTTTTCTATGGGATCAATCAATATTCCGAGCTAAGTGAAGGTAAATATAATAATTGATATGTTTCATACAAATATGTTATACAGTTATGCAGATTTTTAAAATAATGCAACAAATCAATAAGTAAAAGAATCGTATTGACATAAAAAGCATGAAACGAAACGAACAACATTGATAAATAAAATTAATTTGTGACAAAGTATAGGTATAAAACAGTCCGGTTGGTTAAGTTTACGTATTTTCGCGAATTTTGTTATAACTTAGGACATAACTAACAAAAAAATTGTTGCAACCAAAAAATTATTAATAGGATAAAATTAAATAATTACTTGAAAATGTAATAACCTAATCGCGTTTTATTAAATTTCAACAAAAAATACAAAGGACCATCGTCCGTAACGAAATAGGTAGGTACGCATCGGCAAAAAACTAATTTCGCAGCGAGACAAAGGTAAGGATAAAATTTCAGTAACCATCTTCTATCTACCGGCATTAAACAAAGACTCGGGCGGTTTTCTTGAAGGGAACCGACGCAAGTGCGGAAATTAAAACGTTATTCTAATAACCTCCCTAAATGGGGATGTTTGGAGTCTTCGGCGAGACGTTATTACATGCTTTAGATGCAGAGTTTATGGTAAACGGCCTAGTATTGGATACCGGTCTTCCGGAATATATACGTGCCCTTATTGGAAATTCCATTTTATTACAAAGTTAAATTTTGACTGTAGGTTTGTATTTTAAAGGGAAATTAATGAAGTGCCTAATCTTAAAAAAACAGACTCTTATTTAACTTAACAGTCGATGAGGGAGAAGAAAACTAAAGAGGTAATCTAACATGCAGATATCGCCGCATTTAAAACAGATTTGAGAATTGAAAAAGCTAACGGAAAAATCAAAATAACTAATTATCTTAACCAACGAGACTGCAAGATGAAGTTGATGTTGTTTTTAGATAGCACTTCGAGCTTCAGGCTGTATTTATATGTTAAATATATTTTATTAACAGGCAGCACACGAACTGACGAACATACAGACAATATACGAACATGGGGAGATGCTGCCACTTACCGCGGTGTAAAGGAGTTCCAGAACTCGCTACATTTCGAGGTTGCAGCAGCAGACATAGGGAACACAGAAGACAGGACAATTAACTAACCACACTGCAATACTAAGCGCAGACGCACCAACGCTAGCGCGAATTTCACCTTAATTCGCTCTAGATGGTCTACGCAAGCATTACATTGCAATACGATGCGCAGACACAACTACGTACCGCGAATGTTTTTTTTTTGAAAAAAAGATTTTTAAACGCAGTATGGCAGCGTCTGCGCATGTACTACTAAGCATTTGGTCAACTGTGACAAAGATTCTCTTCTCTTCAAGTCAAATTGAAATAATTTTAAACAGTTTTTTGAAAGATTGAAATTTATAGCTTATTAAAAGCATAACATACATCCCATAATGGACCACTTTAATTGTTATTTACAATTACTAAAATCTCAATAAATATTAATGATTTAGCAATAACCGGTGTAATAATAGTGGTACTCTAATTGCTATTTAAAACAATATCCATTAGCGAAAGGAATTATTTGATTTTTGTTGAACAATTTAATTAGAATATTTTAACGGGATAGGAACATCAATTAATTTAATCTATTTGCAAACGATAATGCAAAACAATGGCGACGTAAAGGGAGACACAATTAACAAACAGTAATTAAATTTTTGATCGAATCGAATTAATTTGAGAATACCGAATGCAACGTTATTTTCATTAATGGAATATTTATTCAATCCAATATTGTTTTTCCATCAATTATTCAAAGAAAATTGTTAACAGATACATTGAACGATAAATAATTAACACGTGACGATTCAATATTGGTAATTCATTACTGCTACCAGGAATTATAATTTAAACGACCAACAATAATTATTTTGTTGAAATTATCGAAATCTTTGTCATAGTTTACCTTAACAAATTGAGACAAACAAATTGCACGCTCTCTCACTGCTTTCTTCTTTCAATCTGTTTAATGACGAGACAAAAAGTATGACGGACACACAAAATAAAAATCCAAAAAAAAACAAAAATGTAGCTACAGACAATGACAGACACAAGTTAGGCGAAAAATTGAGCGTCAGTAGAGTCATGGTGAGGCAATTATGACTTGAGGTACTTCACTCACTTGCCTAACGAATTTTATAAAATTTATCAAAAATGGTTTTGATAACCATAGTTATCTTTAAGCTCAACTTTTAATTAGGATGAAGATTATAGAAAGTTCTAACGAGGATTATATTTCCTTGATTTTGATCTGAAATTAAAGTTTTTACCTAAATCGGCTAAAACTTTCATGAATAAGTTTCGTATAATCCGACATATTTCTACCTTAAAAACTACGTCCAAATAAACGAATTTGCTTATGTATAGCATCAGCTACGCAATTTATTCATTTAATTAACCTGCAGGTCGATCAAATAATCGTAGCTCTCTTTTAACCATTTTATTTAACTCCTGTTTTTTTCTATATTACATTTTCTTCTACGCAATCAAGCGACATTATTTTGGCTAACTTGTACCTACAGAATTTAGAAATTTATCAAGAAATTGTGAACAATTTTAACACCAAGTGTAGTGTGTACCAACAGCCCTTCTCGTTGTCAACATTACCGCAAAACCATTCCAAAATTGTCTACTTGCAAACAAAATAAATAATGGAAGAATGATTCTATATTATATGCAAACACATGAGCGTATATAAAGTTTTCATAGGCATCATATTGACTTTTAAACCGAGACTAAATGCAATTTGTGACAAAGGGTAAATGTTTGGCGAACGCTTTATTGATGTTTCAAGAGTTTTTGTGTTTGCTTCGTTCGTATAATATCGAGCAAATTTTAATTTGGAAATCAATTAAAACAAACGAGTATAGCAGAAGTGACACCCGATATATAAAGAGAGAATTTATTGCCGAAGGGAATTTCGTTCCAATAATAAAACCGATCGAAATGGAAAATTTTTAAATTTATCAAAGCGTTTCAAGCATTTGGTCTCAGCATAAAGAGAATTGTGTTGATTTGTGAAACATTTCTAGCATGCTCAACTTGTGTCCACCACGTCATTTTATTAATACATACCTAGAACTAAATGGTCAGTATTTAATTATAAACTTATAATTATCTATCGCATATTTTATTAAAATTGTGACTTTTAAATGATGAACAAGACCTTCGTAAATTACTTTTTATTCTTACAAGATTTTCTGGCTTTAAAAACTTAATTTAGAGCGTTAGGCTCATTCAAAAATGTTATTTTCGTGGATAAAAGCAAGTTAGATGGTTTTAAAATGTCTTAGTAAAGTAAATATTTATCAAATGTATGAAAGCCAATATTCAGTAAGATTCTTACGCCATGCAGAAAATCTCATAATGTGACCAGTTTCTCACTTAAATAATACCGAAATGCCTTTCAAAAAGACGAATATCCGCAATTCTGAGCGACAGCTCGGGCTAGAGACAGGATTTAGACGAACACAGGGATCTATAGACGAGACACAATGATATCCCACGCCCTCTCATCACGATCGTTTTTGTTTCTTTTTTAAATATGATGCGGGGGCGTGGGCGAAGGTGAGGTAGGGTTTTCGAGGTCAAAAAGGGATAGAGCTCCTCTAAGGGAGTGCGATGCCCGAGCAAAAAATCAGGGAGAGATGCTCCCTAAAATCCGCTCAAACGTGCAGAGCTGAAATCCTGTGATATAGCGCGATAGTAGATCAACAGCGTGGCTGTTTCTGCCCAATATCAGTGGTAACCGCTCGGAAAAGATATTTTATTCCATAAGCCAAATAGGAAGAAATATTTCAAAACATATTCATTAAAAACTTTAGATTTATTAGATAGCTTGATAATAACAGAAATAGTTTCGATGTTTCAAAGTTTGTTAATATTAATGAAATCAAAGAATATTTAAATAGATACAACTATCATGTTATTTTCGAATTATCGGAAATTGCTCTTATAAAATTACAAAACGGCTGCTAGTCTGTATAGCATGTTTGCAAGCAAATGCCTATAATTTTCTCACAACATTTTACTGTTATGTAGGCGAGTCATGAAATATTCCACAAGAAGTTTTAAATTCTTCAACAAATTACCTCCTATTTACATGAATAACTACAATTCAAAATGAAAATAGGAACATTAAACATGAAACGGGATATTAAATTTCAAGTTTTAATTTCGAAAACACTGCTTTCATAGCGGTTGAATTGTAGGAAAGTTACAAATTGTTTAAAACGTAAAATTATCTCATATTTTCGTATCAAACTTTCTTCCGAAGTTTCGATAAAACTGCTTTCCAGAAAAATATCGTTTCCCTGCTGTTACCACCTCATTGAAGGGCACTCGACGATAAAGCTCTAAAAGGAATGTTCAAATAATTTCTTACCTTTCCGTGTACTCGTCCATGTGAGCGTACGATTGTACGGAGTTCTCCTCAATGAGGAACTTAACTCTTTGGTAAAACGAAGCCGTTACCGAAGGCGGCTGCTTCCGAAGCAAAACCTCCACAGGATCGTTGCTGGCTATGCACATTATGTGATCGGAGCAACTCGGATGCGAGCAGCATTCGCTGTCCGAACAATCCACCATGCCGTCTGGTAGATAACAAAAATCAACGATAAATTTAAAGATTTCTAAATCCTCTAGCAAGCCTCAAGGAACACTTAAGGAATTATTGCGGCTGTACAAAATAAGTTCTATGTACTTTTAAATTTATTTACCGTGATCATTATCCATATCATCCTGGCAATCCTGCTCTAAAGGAATGCTACAATCCGACCCAGCCCAACCAGGAATACATACGCATTTATAAAGACCTTCTTCAAGAGTGCATTGTCCGTGACCCGAGCAACCATTTTCGCATCCAGCTGTAAAAAAAGTTCATTTACAACATACGCGAGGACCGATGTAGCCAAATCACAACTTCCGAAACAAAACTCAATCAAAATAACTTGCGGTAAAAAAATGAGATGCTTCATAACAATGTAATTTAAATAAAATATTTTACAGAAAAGTTGAAAAATTAATTCCCAGTACTCTGAAAATTTAATGAAAAAGCCACACCTTGTCGTGAATTTTAAATCGCACAGCCAGCTCTAAATATTTATGCATCGAAAAAATCTGTCGAGAGTTTACGGAGAACTCGCTCACTAATAGAATATTAATTATAACAAACTACCGGGGGTAAAATTTGACGTGGCTTTTAGAGAGAGAAATCGAGTTTGCCGAACTTTCGGCGAAACTTTTAGCCAGTTGGGCTAAAAATATCGGGAAGAAAAGAGGAAAAACAAAGTTTCTTAGTTACGGGAAGTGTTATCTATTTTGATCTCCCTTAATAGGATTACAAATTTCCGAATAAGATTAATGCGAACCATTCGTAAAATTTCAAAATATCCCTAATAATTAATGCCGTTTTTTATGTAAACCGTTTCCTGTAAACACTTGGTGCCGATATTTGAAAAATTTTCTCGACGAAAACGTCTCTTGTTCATAAATTGAGGCAATTTATAGGAATATCCAATTACATTTTCTAGGAGGTAGCTAAAAGTTAATGCATTTGTTCTAAACTCTAAATTAGTATCTACTAATATTTTTAATAATAGGTGAATTTAAGAGTATTAATTAATATTCCTGCTGGTATTTACTTGGTCAAGCAAATAACAAATCCCTCCACTTAAAAGGGTCTATAAATTCCGGATGATCGGTTAGTAATTAAAATAAAGAACATAATTGGAGAGGAACAGGGAAAATCGGAGTTAGATGTCTCCCAACCAATAAAGCAAGTAAATGGAAAGTGGGGATTTATTCATCCCGTTAAATGAACCATTTCCTACGACGCAACTCCAGAAGGGTGTTTAACCATTATATGCATAAACAATAAACCTATGTAAATTCCGGGATTAATTGGCAAATTGTTGAATTAAATTTTTTCCAATTTAGCCAAAATGAAAATGCAGATAAAAAAGGTAATAGCGTAACACTGATTGAATGAAAACGTATCGCTTTCCCTTGTAAATATAACGGAATGTTTTTCAGCGGTCGAAACAAAACATTGCCAAGTTTTTCTGCGTTCTCGGAATAGCCGTAAAAGAGATAAATGTGGAAAACTATTAGTGAGTCATCTCGGAGGTTTTGTCCATAAAAAGAAGTTAGTGACGTCGGAACGGTGGAAAAGTTTTTCTGTTCGCGGTTATTTGTAGCTCTTCATTCTTTGACGAACAAAAAATACAATCATAATTTAGCCGAGGCGTTTTTAATGACGCAGTGAAAATATATTAGACGTCGCGCTATTATATTATTAGATATATTTCACTGATGGTCTACCCAAAATGTATTAAATGTTTCGAAAGAATGAGCCTTATATTAGGGGACTTACGTAGCGTGCAGTGGCGCCCGTTCCAGCCCTGCGAACACACGCAGGTCCCGTTCCTGCATTGGCCGTGTTCCTGGCATCTTACGTCACAAGGAAGCAGCTCGCATCTCGAACCAGTCCATCCAGGTTCACACCGACATTTGCCCGTGTCGCACTGACCGTGCGGTCCGCAGTCCAAGTTACACAACGCTGGAATCAAATAAGCACATGCTAATTCATTTTGATATAAAAATTAATAGATAATAGAATCCATAACTAAAAAAATGCTTTATAACAATGACTTTTGTAGTTGGTATGTTCCTTCAAAATTTAATAACGCGATTATTAAAAAAGAAAGGGATTGCAAAAAACGGTAAGTAAAATCCAAATAAATGTGAATTGGATCGTCCCGATTTCATACAGGCATTTTCTCATGTCACATTAAACGTCCAGATTGAACAATGCGGAAAACAAAGGATGACTAGGACTCGTGATGAAGGATTATATATCACGAGAACTTGGCTGAACTTTAATTGCTCGGAACGAATCAGGATGTCTAAGGAAATCTGCGACGTTGAAGGTCTTTAACCTGTTTATAGGAAGTGTTTTATAGAGCACTGATTTCGAAGAAAAACAAAAATTTAGTGATCACTCTAGGACTGACTTTGTTTGTTTTCATCAATATATTTAGAAAAAGAGTTTCTTGTTAAATAAGTACAGTAGATTCTGAAGGTAAACAAATAAAATATTCAATAATTCTAATTACGGCTTCAAAGGAAAGTAATTGGATTTTTCTTACCTTGAGAACAATCAGGTCCAGTCCAATGTCTGTTACAAATGCATTTTGCAGTCTCCAAATCGTACATGCCGTGATCGGAGCACGTGGGTAAACATTTGTGAACTTGTTCATCGATAATGTCACAATGTGCACCCTTCCAGCCGGCTTTGCAATAACACTGACCGTGAACGCAGGCACCGTGTTCCGAACACGTCGGATCTTCGCAATCGGATTCATCGCATCCCTCGCCTGAAAGAATTGAATCATTTCAATTTCGAAGTAGATTTTAGCAGAAATTATTGCAAGTAATTCGTACTGCTTTGAAGTTACTAAGAATGTTAAGACTCCCATTGTTAGAAAATTTATTCAGAACGCTTTAAACATCACATATTTTGATGGAATGAATGGAATTGTCGACATGAATAATTAACCTGGAAGCTGCAAATATGAATGGAATTTGGGAGGAATTTAATCCTGTGGTTAATAATCGGTCAGCCTATTTGAAATGCTAGCGTTTGAATTCGAAATAGATCTTGGAAAATCTACTTAAATTGTTTAAACAGTAAGAGGCTGCAATGGTTGTTTTGAAAATTACATTATTTTCGGCGATAATAAATTGATTTAGAAAGTCGATTAATCGTTTTAGCATCCCTGCGTCTCTATTTTAAGGATAATTCGTCGTCAATTTAAGGATGAATGCACGTTGATTCCGTCAGGCACTAAATTCTTCCAACAATAACAATCGCACTCCTAATATACCCTTCTGTGGTATCAAGAAAACACTTGGCTCGTTCCTACGCCTAGAATAATAATTCTGTTATGTCTAACTTCAGACTCCCCGGGCAGGAAATAATAAACTTACAAGGAAAACAAAGATAAAATAAACCCAACTTCGCAGGAATAATTAGATCTAATTTCCGAATGAATGCGGCCCTAAACTGAAATAGAATTTTATTTAGTTTTATGCAACCTTCGCGGGCTTTACCGCAACATTGACAACAAAGTCGTACGGGATACCTCAAACTAAGAATTAATTACTTTCGTGTATAAACAAAATAATTATTCATAAAGTCGAATTTGAAATTCAAGTTGGCATCTGGAATAACAGCCGAAAGTGCATTATTTTCTAATTTGAATACAAATCAAAGTTCTTCGAATGTCTGCGCACAGAAATCTAGTCATCTATTTTGCTTCCCTAATATTGACCAATATTTCCTTCTTGGATAAAACCAACCTTCTGCACCTGATGTCAGTCGGTTAGATTGCCGTATTTCGTATACCATCACGTCCGTTTACCAAACGAATTCGCATCTTTACCACGTAAAACTTAAATCGCACGGATGCGGATTTTTTTTAGATATAAATGACCCTCATTTCGCCGCTATCGCCACCCTTACCGATGTAGGGGTTTTATTTGGGCCAACTCGGGGTCTCAATTTACACGGATGGCTACCTATAAATCTTTTCTCTTTGGGGAATGGAAGGTAAGATGAACTTTTAGTCGAAGCGATATGAATTTTTTCAAGCAAAATTGTAGTACAACTTACTGCGTTATTGGCTGCAGCCATAGGAATTTTAGTGTACCTAACACATTTTTTTGAAGTAACTGAAATAATTTCAAAACTGGTGGAGGTAATTTCTATACAGTGAACTTTTTTACGATTTTTAATCAAAGCAACGTATTAGAAAGAAAATATAGTTCAAAGTTATAACTTCAAAGCAGGTCTATGATATTGCCTCTTAGATGAATTGAACAATAGAGGAATTCTTGGAATATCTCTGCTACTTTCATACCTTTCCATCCGGGTTTGCAGTGGCAGGAACCTCGTACGCATTGCCCGTGACCCGAACAGTCTGCAATCCGACAGTCGCTCTCTGGGATATCGCATTCTGGCCCTTTCCAGCCCTGTTCGCAGTGGCAAAGACCTCCACCGTATTGGCCGTGCCCCGAGCAGAGCACTGGACACACACCTGGAAACAGAAAGCAAAGTTTAACAACGTGAAAATTGTTCCAAACAGAAATTTAACTATTTTTACTAGCGTAGAAAAATTGTTAGATTATTCGTTTATGTATAATTGCCCGTATGCTGGTTTGTATTATTTAGTTCAGTTTTGTTATCGATGAATCGTATTCAACCTGTCAGTGTTTAAAAGCTGCCGCTTACACCGTAACTTGATATTGCACAAAAGACCCTCTGCTTTAATTACAGAACACCAACAGTTTGGCCCTTTCGACAATCCTTTGAGATCCTCCATTACAGAGAGTGTGATTTCGACTCAGATTTAGTACTTGCCCTTCTAATTTCTACGCCCGCCTCATTCTCCGAATGCCATGGAAAGTAATGAAAAATACCGCCCTATAATTTCCGTACCTACTATTCGACGACAAGCTACCATCCCATATTCGGATCTCTCTAATAATCAACCCTTTATGCTCGAAAACTATAATTATCTTGTCAATCCTTTATCGGGGAATCTGAATCACGAATCGTATGTCATCTTATTGTGCTGCCAGGTGTATGTATGGATGCGGGTTCTATTTTGTTGATATTTATCAGAACATTGGCGTGCATTGTTTTATTATTAAATAATCGATTTATGTAAATGTTAATGGGTATTACATAAAACAAAAAACAACAAATTAATTTAAAAAAGTGACTGTTTAAAATTTCATCATTTGAGCTAATTAATTTTCGAAGTGCTTGGTTTTAATCGCGCTCCAATTAAATCTTTTCCACCGCAGTAGACGTCATTTATTGGGAAAAAAGAGATTTGCGGATAATTGGTGAAAACTAATTATCTCAATTATTCACCAAATTTTATTATCACCCTTGTACATTAATTATAAAATAATAAGTAAAAGATATTCATCCACACTCTTCTAACCCTTCTTCAAAGGAATAATTCCAAAGAGCTTAGAGACACCCCTTTCATAAATTAATCCACAAACTTTGGATAAGTTTGAAAATTAGTTTTGCCGTAGTCTCGGTTATACGCAACATACGGGGGAGAGTCCAAATGCGGTGCATATCGATTCGTTCGGAAAATTTATAACCGCAAAAATAAATGCTCGATAAAATTTTATGCATACTATATAAGCGTGATAGAGAGGAAGGAAATCCGCAATAAAAAGTTTGATTGCTGTTGAATATTTTACACATTCTTTTTAGTTTTGCTGGAATGTCTATTTCGTTAATTCGACAACTGAGTATTTCAATTTGTCGGGCGCATTTCTTCTCAAAGGGTCCCTTTTTCTGGAAACTAATCTAATGAAATCGGCTTTCACTTTCTTTTGCTATAGTTATTTACTGTTTTGCTGCCGGTAGAGAACTTCAAAGGCATTCAAATTAAAAAACTTTTCTCGTAGCTGCAATAAGGTTGCAATTTCGCCAAAACACACAAACAGTTTTATTTGAAACTTGGCAAGGAAATCTTAGAATTATTGGCGACGAAGGTTTTTAAAGAACTTGCTAATTTATAAGTACATACCGAAAGGTTTCCCTTGCCATTTGTCTGAAGAATTGATTTATTATCGCAATTACAAAAACCAATCGAATTACAGGTTAAATCGTAACCTACGTTCATTTTCCAATAAGCTCCTTTCCAATCTCTTCATCCCTTTTCGAAATTACCCGTTCGATCTAATAAAAATCTATTCTTTCTCACACGTTCTTTTCATAGCTGCTCGTCGCATATTGTTTTATCCCGGCCCCTTGATAGTGAACTTCAAAAGATATTGGAATTAAAAAACTTTTTCCGCGCATCCGAGATATAAAAGAAAGGTCTCTGTATCGACGCTGCCAAGTAATCCTTGTAGCTAAAAATCTATTGTTATATTCCGGCGATTCCAGTGAGCGAAAAGAGTGCAACAGTAAATTCAATTGCTTTTTACTTCCGCTCGGCTGTTGCTAAAATGGTCGCAGCCTCGATCGGTTTTAATTACTGATCTAGTTTGGTAAAAAATTAGAAAGTTTTATTTGTGATGTGTTTTTTGATCCTAAGGCAAACAATGAAAGAATAATCAAGCAGAGAGTCGTATGAGGAACAATCTTAATGAATTTGCTGTCGAATTTTAGCGAGACGCCTATGCTATCTGGGGTTAGCATAATGTGAGAAAGGATGTTAACGCCCTGTTCAGGAACTTTATTAAGGTTGATTCATATATGAGGTCGTGTGGAGGGCCTATCTGAAATTAACTACAGCAGCTTTTGTTGTAGATATTTCACCGTTTGTGAAACACAAATTGTACCTTCGTAAGATAAATAAGTTACACCGATAACAAAGTTCAGTGGATTGATCATTAAAATTTATTATAAGTTAAAGGACTAACGAAGCTTGCGAAGTAAGCGAGACATTCTAAAATATCCAAATTATTTTGTGGACATAACCGACGTAAAATATCACAACCCTCGTATAAATGTATTATAGAGCTTTAGAGTGTCTTTGTATTTCCTTGCGTACACGAGGTAAATCGATTCGAAACTTTGATAATAATTATTTTTGATTACTAAACAAAATTTTCATTCTAATTTAAAATTATTTGTCTTCAGTCGGATGGAGTGTCTACGAAATTATACTGCGGTATTTTTCATAACACGGCTTTGGCGTAAAGCCAGAGAAGGTAAGGAAAAACTAATTTCAAACTCACTTATCTTTAAGGGATTAATTTATAAAGAAAGGGATGGAGACGGAAAAGAAAAGGGAAAGGTAAAAGTGGAGCTCACGTCTTTTCGGCGGCGTTCTTGAGTTGCACGCGAATGAAAGAATAGATAAATGCTTGAGTTTTCGGTCTGTGAATTTCAGTTGGAAAATAGAAATTTATAATGAGGAAAAATTATCTTTCATGTTTTATTTTAGCGAATTTAGCCGGAAAATATACAATGTAAAATTTATTCACATAATTTGCGCATATCCTACAGGAAAGAATAGGATGAAGGAAGGATAATTAAATTCTGGACTCTTATTAACTTTTTTCATAATTTAATAAAAGAGTAATTAAAAAAATCGGTCTAGAAGTAGGGAAAAAGAGAGTTTTAATGTCTTTTCAATTTAGGAAAGTCATCTGCATAACATATTATGATATTTAGTGATCAGTGTATTTTTTATTAGTAAACTAACACAACAAATTTTAAAATACAGTAAGTAGAGAAAATTACAGGTTTTAACACATTAATTGTTAAAATAATTTCGAAAAGTTTTTCTGACAACTACCTGTTTTATAAATGATAAGGTGACAATGGTGTTTCATAACAACCATAATGTACTTCATACATCACTTGTGACAACTTATGAGTTATTCTCATACATTCAGTTCTCCCTTGTAGCTCGGAAAACATTGTTTTCTTGTTAGCCGACTGTTTATTTTAGGTAAATAAAAACAAGCAGGACGGGAGAACGCACAAAGGTAAATAGCTGATGTGTTTACATAATTATGGTAGGCAGGAATATTTTTGTAAAAAGTGTTCCATTAGATTTTCCAGAAAGCAAACAAAATAACAGCAACTTCAAAATATAATTTATTATTAAATGTGAGCAGAATAATAACCTCTTAATGCATGCATGCTAAAAAATCGATTCTATTTGCTATTGTTGTAAAAACAGAATTTTCGAATAATGGAATATTTAAGTTATGAAAAGAAGAATATATCTTAATTTATACGCCAGAATAGTTTTTTCGAAATTTTATAAAAAATAATAGAGTAATTAGTTAATAAATATTTTTTACTATTATTTTATGACCAATAAAAATATCTAATATCAGAATAGCTTAAGGAACAAGAGATTAAAGTCTGCCTATATCTGAATCGAATTTCTTTCGTCAAATCACCGAAGATGCATAAACTTTCTTTAAAAGCCATTACGTTATCGAATCCTGCCACCGTTTTCTCCTTGCTTCGCAAGTATTATCCTGTTATTAATGCTTATGAGTCTTATCAAGAGTTATTTATTACCAAGGTGAAATTTCACGTTACATTAAATTTTGTACTACCTTTGTTTAGAGGCGTCCTAACGGAAAACCGGCGGCAAAGGGTGAAAATGCTAAAGACACGCATCCGAACCCCCGTCGTCGTTCGCTTTGTAATTCGCGAGCATTCAACGAGATTCCGCTATATCGTTTGGAACTCATAAAAGGCATAAAAATGTTTAATGCATGATAGGAAGGAATGTTGTAGGTATGTCGGTTGATTTGGATTTTTTAACGATTTTGGAAATGATTTAAACAGTACCGACACTTTTATAATTTTGGAATTAATAATTTACTGACCAATTACCAGTGCTTAAATTAAAGCAATTACTTTTGATTGGGGTAATATCGATTTAAGTACTTAGCAGAGCCGAGTAAATCGATTCGATTTTATATACCTATAGGTAGTCGAGCACCGGTCGTGCCCACTCATCCGCTCACCATTCAATTCGGGATAAATGAGCTGTCAGTGGTTTTCCAGGGGCTAGTTACGGGTGTTGGAATGAAAAATCAGGGCTCTGCCTATTTTCCGAGATTCGTGGTATTTGTTTTGAACCGATAATGAAGCAACACTGTAATACATCTTCACGCATCCGCGCTCGATGGGAACAATTTAATTTGCGCGTTTTCAATTTAAATTTGCAATCAAAATTACTGCTATGACGAATTACTTTTTCCTGTTTCTATGAAAAAAAAGTGTCGTATCTATGTATATCAAATGTAAATCTTAGTACATAGGATTTATTGAAATATTATCTAATCAACAACTGCACAAATATTACAAATCTACGCCTATGTTTCAAAGGAACTAAACGGGAGAAGAGAGCTCGAAAAAGAGGCTTTGAAGAGAATATCGAGAGAAACACAGAGGATAGATAAGAAAACACTCACTTTTCAAGCAGTTTGTGGGAAAACCAGAATGCAATCGCACTTGTCCACGTAGGTATCAGAAATAAACACCTGTTTCAGTGATACCTATTTTCTCAGGGATCTAAATTTACTTTAAAATAATGAAATGTGTTTGCCTTGTAATAAATAATAAAAAATGTGCTTGGTTAATCAATAATAAGCACAATATATTTTTTACGCGATAAGAAAACATTCCGAAATATTTTTAACCCGGTCCTGGTAACTATTTGGACACTATTTTATGAGGTCCTTACTAGTGTCCATCATAATAGTTTTTATTAAATTATATTAAGTACTTTTAAAGATATTTAAGGAAAACCTATTTCCAGCGACGTTCTTCAGAGAGAGCCTGATGTAGGAAAAAACTTTAGAGGAACTTGGGAGCTTATTTTTTCATGTTCTATGTGGATCCGAGAGATTTTCCACACTTTCCGGGACACCCTGTATAGTACATATCAAGTCGGTGAAGCATATTGGGCGAAGAGTCAAGTTTTGATACACAACTTTTTTAATACACCATAAATTCGCTTTTTATTCAATTTCCCCGTCAATTTTAATGCCCATCGCCAATTTTTTTCCATTTGCGCTTTCCACTGCGAAAATTTTATTATTCCACGTCAGTTCCGGCAAAGAGCGCTTCGAAAACCGTCCGAGTGAAACGCGAATAAGAAAATAAAAAAAAGCAATAGATAAGAAAACACTCACTCTTCGAGCAATCTATCCCTTGGAATCCGTCGATGCAATCGCATTTGCCCAGGTAGCAGGATCCGCGTCCTGAACAGTCGTTCGGGCATGTAGTGCTAACTCCTTCTGCCTCGGAGATAATCAGAGACACGCTGTGCGGTTGCAGTTCATCATTGTAAACCTGAAAAAAGGGGAACAGTGGAAATTTAGACTACAATTTACATGTAACATGTATGATTAATTCTTGAAATAACAGAAGACATAGGTAAAGTTAATCGTATATTTATGGTAGCACTTCATCTTCCTAATTTACCAAAGGGAAAAAATAAGAAGGTATTTGAAATTGAATGATATTTTTTTTTGATGCAACAAAAATCAATTCAGACAGAAAGCGGCTATTTCACTCTCACAACCTAACACCATCGAATCCCATTTAAAGCGGTTCGATACAGATATGAGTAAGGAACTGAATCCCGTGTAACTTCGCCAAAATTTCATTCGCCTGCGAAGATACGGCGAATAAAAATCGACAACCGAAGTTTATTCTTGCACCTCCCAATTTCGGATAAAACCAAATCACGTAAAGAGCGGCGTGTTGTTGGTGTGTATATGGCTTTTCGATGTTTTCACTTCTAACAATGAAATGTTCGGGAGAGGAGTTGCAGTAAATGTCATTGGCGCCGTTCGTTGCAGGAAAATTGGGTAACGCGATAAAAGCGGTTTGATGGAAGCCAATGAAAATGTTTTTATGTTGTGGTTTGAGTAAAATTTCAAATTACTTTTTTTATTAGACGGGTAAATAAGGATAGATAAAAGTCGGGAGGAATTAATAAAGCCTAACCATAAACTGAACTTAACTTAATCGAACATTCAGCCGAGGTCTATTTCATTTTCCGGTTTAATTTAGTCTCAAAAATGAAATAGCGAACCTCATGAATAAACTAAAATAGTTGAAAATTATCGCTCCTAAAATCGTATAACTTCAACTCTAGAGAAATAAAAATTAACTGCATAGATAAAATCCCCATGTATACCATTACCTAGAGCTGTAAAAAGGTGTTTATGGCACGCCCATATATTTACATTCATCCTTAATGGCTGACTATTACACGAGTTTACTTCCGGCACTAAATTTTCTATCGCTATGAAAGTTTCGTAGTTTATTTATTTTGTAAATTTGATTGTAACATAGTATATGTATGTGACTGAAACATGATCTAGTTTCTACCATCAATTGTTCAAATAGATATTGATTTTTCCTGTTAACCTTTAAGCTACTATAATTTTCAAATTCATTACAAACTCACGCAACTTTGCAATACTTTATCGATAGAAATAAACTTTACTTACCGACAAAAACCATCTTCCAGTGTCCAAATAATGCATCAGGCTAACGTTGACCATCATGGGCTCAATTTCCGCTTCTCTCTTGGCAATAACATGATCCATTTCGTCCGTTTCTATCCCGACGTCCAGAGTCGGATGAGGTAAATCAGTACTCGCGCCTCTGCGGAGACCTTGGCGAGGCTGGCCGTCAAAATCGATTTTAATGCTTTGCGGAACGTAAAACGGCCCACGGGGCTCGGAATCGGCCAGAATTTTCTTGGTACCTTCGTAAGATGATGAAATAGAATCCAGAACATCCGTTTTATGCGTGCTGCGGTAGTCATAAGATAGCTTTAGTTCGGAGAGTAGCGGCACTTGTTCGGAATAATCTGCAACAATTATTATTTGTTCTGTTATGAAATGGATAATGATCGATTTACGTTGAGTTACATTTACAAGAGTAAAGGATTTGGTGATGTAAAAAAGTAATTTTTTGCATGTTTGCCTGTAAAATGTTCGAAAACCATTCCAATAAATTAATACCTTCGATTTGAGCTCGAGTTACGGGCATTTGTTAATGAGTCAACAATGAGTTCCTGACGCGAAGCAATCAATTAAAGTCCCGACGCGTTTTTGTCAATAACATCAGCGTAACCGATTTCACATACCATTGCTACATTCGACTTTTTGACAGCAAACCATTTCGCGGAATGAATAATTCAAAATTGATTTAGGGGACGTGACCGCCAGTCCAAGTCTGCACGAAGGGAAGGACAGAGGGCGCCGCACACCGGTAGACGACTGTTTGTCGAAGGGAAACTTTTCTATATGCCTTCGGGCTATTTGTAACATTTCCTGGCAACGAAATCAGCGAAATTTGATTTGATTGTTTTCCTTAGCGAGAGGTCTGGAATTGAAAGGCAATTTTAAAATATTTTAGAGTCATTTGAATAGCGTCCTCCTCCTGTGTGGGAAGATCGAAATATCTATGAATGTGAAAGAATATTGCGGATAGGAATGAAATAGGCGAAAGGAATTTTATTTTAACTTTAGTAAGAAAATTCCAGATTATTATTCAAAAAGACTAATTAATGTATTTGTAACACTTTCTATAAAGTACGTGTAATTATGTTGAGCCTGTTATAAGCCCAAACAAGCAATTTGTGCTAACTCCTGTCTCGTTAAGTCACGTTTAACTTCTCAATTTTTTACGGTAAGAATGTAAAATCACAGTATTTAGGTTGCATAAAAAATTAATGGGATTCTTAATCACTTACTGTAGGTATCTAATTTCCTTTTCCACTTACTTTCTTATATCGTATCAAAGCCTAAATTTATTTCATCTTAACGGCACCCCCGATGCGTTCTAGTTTGCGATTCGAAATTTATTGTGAATTTCGGCATAATTAGTCGGAAATTGCGAGACAATGTTGCTTTGTAAGCTACACAAGGGGATAATAATCGAGCCCGGATCAACGAACAAGTACATTTTCGACAAGGTAAGAAGAAAGACAGACAATGCTTGTAATCATCCCTTTGCAGTCAGCGTTTTTCACCGTTTGCCTCAGAGGCGGTACTTTATTTGTTGTCATAAAAAACTTGCAGATATTCTTTTCAAATATGCAATTCTTTTTGTGCAAAAAACAGCTCGATTCACTATTTTGTATAGAATTGCTGTTCATACGACACTTCCCAATAAAACCTCGTCTATTTAAATAAATATTGAGGTACTTAATTACACTATAATTAATAATTATTACATAATATAAAAATATTACTAATTGACTTTGTGCATGCGTTAGTATGAAATTAAATAGGTTAAGTAGAAATTCGTTAAGGTCGTTCGGCGCTACTGGAAACCTTTCCCAGCCATATCGAAACGAGGGTTTTACTTCCTAATGAAAAAGGAAACGATTGTATCGCGGCAAGTGGATTCGCCAAGAATTTAAAAGTGAATTATGATTTTTCCACGGAGATATCGCCTCAAGATTTCGTTTAAGTCATTAACTGCAGTAATTAATCGATTCTTCGGGGGGTTCTATAGATGACGGGGTAGATTTCGAATGATATAGGAAGTTCGCTTTGTTGGAACACCGATTAGTGTGAAATCTAATTATAGAACAACAACAATTAATCCCTATTTCCTTAGTACCTAGGTAGTAACAAGTTGATAAACTATAAAAAGTAATTTTATAGTGTTTATTCATTTATGGATGAGACATATGATTTCTAAATTAAAAAGTTTTGAATTTGCATGAATTAAATCTTTTCAAATAAATTACGAAATGCTATTACAGAATTGCGGTGTTGTGTTGGCTTAAATCTATTTTAAACTACAACATTGCATGTTTGCCATTGATAAAAATTACAGTCTGCTATAAAAAGCCTACTAGTAATTGAAAAAAGTTTCAACGGCAGAAATAAGTGTAGGTACTATTATTATTTGTTGGCGTAAAACTTAACACAGTTACCATTTTTATCATACTCGCTTGAATCGGTCGCTTATATGTACATATGTATATGAAAAATTAATAGTAAAAAATAATAAAATACTAAGGTTCATAGACATTCCCAGAGTTTTCGATGAAATAAATAAATATATATAAAATATTAGAATAAATGTCACAAATCGAAGAGAAAAATAACACTGCCACATATGCGGTTCCCGTGACCAAAATACTGCTATGACCATGCATGTGTAAAATTCGATCAAAAATGGATTTTACAGTTCGCCAGTCATCGTATCAAATAAATCGAATATATTCGTATAATAAAACGGTATGTCTAAATACAAATGCCTGGGGATGTGTTTGACAATGGTGATCTTGTAGAAGAGCTCTGCCTCACTTGTCAAAAAGAACAGAAAGGACTGAAAGAGCTTATGAAATAATTTATATTCCATAAAGGGGCTGCGACAGGCTGAATAAGAGCGTTTTTGAAACTGATAGGATTATATTTTATTTTGAATTTGCTTTTCCTTAAATAACTTGTGAAACATCAAAACAAACTTAATATTCCAACTAATCCATTTATATCATAAAGAAATGATACTTCAAAACATGCAAAGTCGACTAAACTTTGATAATTAATTATGGTAAATGCTGAAATATCCCTTTTTACAACACCATGCCCTTGCGTAGGGTAGACTTTTTTATACAAAATATTTAGTAAATTACCCTTTACCACGAAGCGTAAAAGCATAGAATTCCACCACGTACCGACTTACGAAACGAAATTATTCTTAAGTCACCAAAGTATTACATTCCGAAGTTAATAACTCATTTCGACCTACCTGCGCTAAGATCCCGCTTCCTCCTCAACCGGTGATCCACTCGTCCCCCTTTGACGAACTCCACGAAATCATACTGCGTGACGCTAGGCGCAACGTTTCTCCTTCCGTACACGGCGAAATTGGCGCCCCACGGTAACGTGAAATTGAAATTAATAAACGCCGGCTGCTTGTTGCGGAATTCGCTGTTCCAAAATTGATAGGGAGGAATCGTGGCGGTGTGGAGCACGTCCAGTTCCGTTTGCTCGAGCAGCGGCAACGGAGACCATTGGTTCTGCAAGGGCTGCTGCTCCTGCTGCTGTTGCTGCTGCTGTTGCGACGGCTGCTGATGCTGCAGTGACGTGTGCGCTGTAGTAGCGCTGGCGGAATGTTCTGCAGTACTGGTCGGTAGGGATTCTGAAATATTTGTTATATTATAATTGTACCTAGTACACGACTCCCAAATTTGAAAGGTTTATTCAATTGAAATTAGACTATATTTGTGAACATCCTGTATGTGAATTAAATTTGAATGAAGTAAATAACCGTTTGAAAAAGAAAACGATGTTGCTAATTTTAATTGAGCGCTTGTAAATATAGAGAGCTACAGAATTTCTATATCGTCTGTATATCTTGTTAAATTTCCGCGACACTACAGCAATGCGAAAACGCTTGTAACGGTAAACGGACTACTGGAGCATCAAAACGTAATTCCTTTACACCCTTACGCTCATTACACCCCAATTTTCTACATTATTATGCAATTCATGTTTCTTTTTATACGGGAAATTTTCAACAACGCTCTAATGGGTAATCCCATTAGAGAGAATATGGAAGGACGTTTTTCATATCCTCACTGAGAGGAGTTTCTCATGGCAATGCAACTCTCGACTACGTCTAATTCTTTTAATTTTTTTAACTGGAAAAATACTATTCGAAGAAATAATTAAGAAAATTCGAGACGCTTGTTTCACATTAATTATTCTCGACAACAAATAAATAATAAAGATACTAATCTTTGTGTTTATGTTCTTACGAATAATATTTAATTGGCAATAGATGAAATAATTTTAATTAAAGCCGGCTCACGAGCTAAGTGGTATATTTCAGGCTTGTTCTTTTCGCTTATCTAAAAGAAAACGAACGAGTTTGAACTTTGAAAAGAAGGAAGACGAAAAGCACTCAAGGGCTTTATGGAGATGAGAGGGTAATTATTGTATGTCATTGTCAGTAGTTAACGACTTAACGGCAAACTCTTTGCATTAACTAACTTTCCGTGATTTAAACAGGTAAAAGTTCTTGTTCAAACTGTGAAATTGAGAAAATTAAAGTAGTGGATGTTCTATTCTGTTTTCTCAAAATTGGATGTTTCGTTAATTGCTTCCGAGACATGCGGATCTCTCGAACCGCGCTGTGTAATGAAAATGTAATTTTCCCGGGAGTTTGATGATACTAAATAGGCGGAGAAGCGCCATTTCTGTTTTCCGTAAACATTTAATAAAACGCTACTATCTTCCCAGCATTCGACGTTAAACTTTTTGTCGGGTATTTTTCCAGATATTTTTCTAAACGAGTTAATTAACAGTTGTAACTTTTAAACCCATAACAATTTTATTCCCAATATTTTTTGTTAATAATTTATATTAATTAAAATTCTTAAAAATGTTATTAAATGAAAATACTTACCCTCCGTAGAAGGTTGTGTTGAGGAACCCATCATAACTTGATCACTGGTTACATCTTTAACGTCTTGGACTAATATGCAATTCGATGAATCTATATTGGGCTTCATAGAACTCACAGCTGAAACAATATTAAGTATTAAACCACGTCTCGCGAAACTCTTACCGCGTGTTCTTACCAGCAAAGTACGCCAACATAGCAGACAATCCGACAGTGAGTAAAATCAACCCGATGCTCAGACATTTCCACGAACACCTATGCTGACATCTTTTGTCGATGTGAAACCTGGACGGTGAGTAAGGTGAGTAGTGAGAAGAGCTGGTTTGAGGCGCTGGTCGTACTAGCGGGAACACTGGCATCACCAAATTTGACGTTTGACTCCCGGGCCCGGTGGTCTGAAGATTACCACCAGGAGGAGCCGAGTTCGGTAGCGTGTGCGAGAGTTGAGTTTGTTGCAGACCAGACGCCAACCTGGGAATAAAAATTTAATTATTATCCCTGTTAGCGATTAGCCACAAGTATAATATTCCATAATATTCAAAGTATTCTCGCTTAACGCAATAATAAAAGAATAGTTGGAAAAAAGAAGCCGAGAATGTAGGCAAAATATTATAAATTTTTATTCGGAAATTGTAGCCGCTTTTACATGAAACATTCGAAGAATTCTATTAATATGTCTATAAGTCCTCTAGCGACAATATATTCCGGTGGAATGTCGCCTTTCTCTCCCGCATTATCCTTTCAATAAGAAACGAAAGGAAGAAATTCTTTCAACTCTCAAAAGGATATCCGATTTTTATAGTAAAAGGTTTAATCGAGAGGCTGGATATCGAATATACGGAGGAATGGTGTAATACACTTTTTTCCATCTTTTTGTTTGAAACGATATCTTTTTATTTGAAGTTTTGCCGTTTTAGAAGCTCGAGTCATCGAGCGTGAATTTCTCGTTGTTATAGTTGTTAAATTAGTTTCGTTCGATTCAATATGTTTATTCGAACAAAGAGAAGACACCGGATTATAGGAATAGGTGAAATATTCACGAAAATAAACATTCCTGCTTAATACATGATGTAAAAAAATTGGTACAACCTTTATGTGCAGATAAGAATTTTTATTTATCCTTACTCTACAATAGAAATGCCAACGTTTTAACTGTTATAACAAAGATTGCAAATTTAATGTTATGTTGGCATTTCTTACCACAACCAGCCTAAAAGCGAGCTCACTGTTTGCCAACAATAAAACTCTAAAATTTGAAGATATTATCTAGAGGTGAATCTACGTACAAAGAACCGTGCGCCCTTCATATTGCACGAAAGGCAACATTATATGCAAACATTATATTTACTATTATAGCCGGATCCTCTGGGTAGAATGTTGCAGATTTACATATACTGTTTACCTTTGCCATTTTTAAACTGCGATAAAGCTAGAAAATCAACGCTTCGTGTTCAATTTACATGAACAACTGTTAACAGTTATAGGTACACAAGTAATTTATTTTTAGGACAATTTTATATAGATTATAAATACTAAATATGTATATGAACAACGTTATATTGTACCTATATCGGTTGTTTCAAAAAAATTAAACTATCAGAATAAAAAATAAATCGATTTGACTCAACAAAATCTAAGTACAAATTATGGTGGATTATTGTGGTGGTTTGACACTAATATTCACCAATTTTAATACTCGTTTATTTATTTTATTTTTGATAATGGTGATTTATTTTTGTACAAATCAATTGTTGTAGGTACATCATCACAATGTACTCAAATAGATACTAATTATTTTATACAATTCACTATTATTTAAATGGTAGTATAGTAAATATTGAGAGAAAGATATAAAGTGTACCGCTATTGCACTAAAAATATTAAATTAACTCGGTTTAATCTATCTAATTTTATGAAAACAGACAATTTAACTGCATTACATTTAACAAGGAATTTCTAACAACATTACATGACAAACACATCTTATGCTCTTTGAATATTTCACAATTCATTTCGGATTTAAAGCTGCAATGTCTGTTCGGGACAGCACATAACAAACTTGTAGATATGCAATTTACAGTCTTTGTAGTCAACATGTCTAGATTACTAAAAAAAGTTCAATTCTGGTATATTAAAAGCACGAGAAGGAAAAATGGAACAACCCATTATACCTGCTACTCAGTTTGTTTTAAATTAATAGTAATCGCAAACAAGGAAATTTAGTCCGTATATAAATTATTACAGGCTATAGGATCTAATAAATATAATATCATATGTTTAGGATTTCGTTTTATAGGTTTCTATACTCATACCCCAACGATTTATATCATAAATCCTTACATAATGATAGAACTGAGCGGAATATAAAATCAGTTTCTTTATTGATGAATTCTATTGCAGCTCAACGATACGTCACATTCAGAATCATCTCGTGCGTTTTCATGCGCGAAATTGTATTTTAAAATAACGAATATATGTAATATTTTAGTATTTACCATTTCTGTTGCTTATTGTTCAATGTACCATGCTGGGGCTCCATCGTCTTCATGAATATTCTTGCATATTTGTTTCTATTAAGGATTTTAAGCTTTAAGGGGGAAAATCTTATACATATTCAATGTCGTTTAGGATACCGTCTCTTGTCAATTCTTGTGAAATAAATCTTTTTGCAAATTGATGAGAACAGAAGCTGTTTGAGAAGTATTAAAATCTCGTTGAATCCCATCCGTTGAAATTAGACACACAAGATAAATTACTTTCCTTTTTCGCTTCTCTTTCATTTCAAACACACTAAAAACAAATAAATTGCTTTTAAAAAGCGCTTATTAGTATCTACAAGCAGGGATCTTTTTGGGTAAACTCTTCTTGTACAAGATGTTTCTTAGAAAACATTTTGATTTTTTATCAATATATCTGAATGTACAAACTTTGTAAGTGCCTCAGTATTAAAATTGTATTAAAAAGAGTTTTTAATATTTATTTTTATCTAAATAAATAAATAACAACCTGCTTAAGCTTAACTGCAGAGCTTTTATTGTGTTACTATCGTGGATCGTAATTATTTTAAGACTAACTCTATAATCCCTTCATATAAAGCCTGTACAGTAAGTCCACCTATATAGAAAATCAAAGCTCCAATTTATCAGGTTACCCAGAGTTCTAATTATTTTCATATACCTATTATTATGCTTATAAATTATCTTCAATGCAGCTGTTGTTATCCATATCCTGGTTTTGAAATATCAGATCCCGGCAACTCTAATATTTGTATATGACTCATTAAAGGGTACTTAAATATAATATCCCATGCACATTGTCAGAATCTGCCCTAGATAATAAGGCATTTCTGAATGGCTAGTAATAGGAATATTCATATATTATACTACTATTCGGCTAATATTAATCAACCAGGAATCATATGCTAATTATTTCTATGGCCAAATCCGGTTAAACCATCATCATTCCTGCTCGGTATACAATAACACTGCACACGCAATCGTAAAATTAATGTATTTCCCCGATTGATATAATAAATATTTTATTTGCCTTCGTGTAAACTGCAGAAGTAAAGATATACTCCAAATTATTCAGTATATTAAAATCGATAAGTCGGAATAAATATTGGTTTAAAAAACACGCACTTTGTTGCATTTAATGATAGTATTAATAATTCTTGGTAATTCAAAGTTTAATAAACTTTCTTAATAGTAATTCCTTAACGCAACTTTCTTAATATTAATAGTCTCTGAGTGGCCATCTCTGGTAAGATCTTTTGTTGTAAATATTTTTTCAGGTACCTACTATGTATTTTGTACATACATTTTTTAAGCTTGGTTAAAAGAAAAGTTTAACTAGCTGAACTTTTTAACACGTACGTAAATTTTAACAATGCAGTAAGTAACCAACCGTGCAGTTCTTGTCATTCACCCCACGCGGCTATCGATACGTCCCTCTCACATGTGGCTAGCCACCGTGAAATCATTTTGACTTCCGATTATATTCATTAGTGTCTTTTGTATGGGTCCATCCGACCGCGGATAATCGATTTCTGACTGTGCACAGCATATTATTATCGATATTATGCCATATTTCAAACGGTAATGAGAGATTGAGGAATTTGGATTGAGGCCAAAAACCAAGCGTCAGCTTTTGGAAGAGATCGATTATCATAAGGAACTGCTCAAGATGGGTAGATATTAGATATCACCGACTATCAAGTAATTAAATTAAAATTCTATTTTTAAGTAATTTAGAATCGTTAAATTATAAATTCGTTATTAGAAAGTAATTGTTTAATTAAGATATTATTCTAATGTTTGTCCTATGCAATTAAAACCACATGCCCTAATGAATCCTCTCGTTAAGTTAATACAGTTGAATTAGTCTTCAGATTGCCCCTGAGATGTAAAATTATTCACATTAAACAGAACATTGAGAAATTCTAATGACTAGTTAGGGCATATAGATTCTATCCTATAAGCCTCTACATAAATGAAACGAATACGCATTGTTTAACAAATAATTGTAATTGTTAGTTCTCTATTGACTATATAAGTTTGTGGAATGGAAAATCTAATCTTATTTAATAAAAATTTTATATGTATTTATTAATAATTATTATTTATTATTATTGATAATATTAATATTCCAGAAGATATAACATTTAACAATTGGAATAACATGTTTCCGAATTCCGAGTAGAACGTAACAGAGACGTCGAAATGAATATTTAAAATTAATTCGTTCTAAACGACAATCGACGAGTTAATAACTAGTAAAAAATGAATTCATGAATGGATAATATCTTCATTAAAATATTTAAACCTTCACGTTTTTAAATTTCACGTTTTTGTGCCTTTCTTCTCAGCACGTTTAAGCATAATGAATTGGGAATTAACTCTTTCGGAATATTAATTTGCTAAAAAGTTGTTACATGCGAAAATGCAAGCAAAAAGTTAATAGAGCAATTTTGCTTCATTTTTGAGAAAAAAAGCCACCAACAAATGAAGACTCTTAACCTTTTTAACTCCAAGTGGTTTTACTAATAAATAAATGGAGGAGATTTAAGTTACTGTTACTTGAATATCACATTTTGGAATGGAAATGAACAATAAAATCCTTTGATATATTCTTTGTATAAAAGCAAACCATTGGAATAGTAGAGTTCGTTTTGAGTCATTTAAAACCATTATTATCGAGAAAAAATCACCAACGACAACATCTAAACGATGCAGTTTTCAGATAAACGAACAGAGCATCGGACGAATTAATAACTTTTATTGTTATAGCTGGAGGGAACGTTCGCGTTCCAGTGAAATGTGTCGCGTTCGTCCGATGTTTAATTTATTTAAACTTTCGGAAATAACCATTACAAAATGAAATTAGGCAGAATTCCACGCGACATAATAAAATTATTCGGCTTTACGAGCTGACCATTAAAAATTATGCCGTAGTCGGGGGATCCTGTGCGCATTTA